CTATCAGAACAGACAAAGCGATAATGGTAATTATTTAAGTTTTATGTTAATAAATGTGAGCAAGCATTTCACAAGAATATACATACAATATTCTCTCGTTGAAAATACCAAATGCAACCCGAACATTTTGTGGCTTTTGCCAAATGGTATAATAGTCTCCCTTGAACAGATTCAAACTTGTTGTAGCACTTCTATACCGTACACAGTTTGCTTTAAAACATAATCATGCGGTTTTATTGTGATTATTTCACTTATATGCTATGAATTCGCTTGTCTCGCGTCAGCTTCGAAAATCGTGCTGCTTCTAATTTTTCAGTTGATTCAGAAGCGATGCGAGGAGAGTGAGACGGAAAAAATATCAATTCATTTTGATATTTAAATATACACTACAGTATAGAAAACGGTTGCCATGGTCATGAATGCAGATGACAGCGAAAAATCTAGAGATGTATTTATCTCCGTTTTTTTTATATTAAGTGAATTTAAACGCAATATTATAATCGAGACGCGATATATAAATGGGCCACTCAGCTTGTGTTCGTATACTTGGCCTATTCGATGACTCGTTTTCACATTCAATGAGTCTCATTAAATCGATCGGTGAACACATCCACGGAATTGCCCACATTTAAACTCGATGTAATCAGAACAACAACTTTTTTTTTCTCATAAAAATGTAGAAGTGCGAATGAAGTTGCTTCGAGCACCATTTTCTCAGCAATCATGCCCATTTTAAGATGCATTTACAGTTGCTTTATCAGTTGAGTTTTATCAAAGGGAGCAAAAAGCCTGTGTGAATTTGTTTTGCTTATTCGAGGAAAAACACGTCGATAACATTTATTGTTCATTTAAATTTCATTAGCTTTGATTATTGATCTATTTATAGTTGAAATTGTTTGAATTCATTGAATTGTCACCACTAAATATTGATACAATGGTAGTTTCGAACATAATATTTCCGCAATGACACGTTTCGGTGAATGTATGCATTTTTTTGTGTTTTATTTTGTCAATGCGAACGAGAGATCAACTGATTTTATCGCTCAGTCCAACGACTTTGGATTAAAATTTGATTTTGAATTGATTCACCTTGCTTCTAAAGCAATAAAATGGCAATGCACAAGGCATTAATCATCCTAATATCATTTTCAAAATCAACTTTCGATGGCGTATAAAAGAAACAAACATTTCGATTTAGAGTAATTCGTGAGTAAATTTGTCATCTCAAGTGTGCAAAAGTCACTTGAGCATTCATTGCATTGAACCATCTGTCGTTTTCGTCACTGGGCCAAAAGGTTGAAGAAGTTTATCTTGTGATCTGTGCCGGCAGCCGAAGAAATAGTGAGGAAGACGAATGAAACAATGATTTGTAACTCGTTAATGCTGCAAACATTGTTGGTGCACACATAATTTAACAACCACAATGCAAAAGATAAAATTGCTTTCATCTTCTTTTATGTGCTTGTGTGTACTTTCGATATTGCACACAAGTTTTCTGTGATATTGTGCTAAAAACTTTAATTGGATCGACAAGTGCTTGGCATCCAAAGTTGCATTCAACTTTGAAACAATTTTGATGCGAGTGTTAGATTGTTGCCGCTGCAGCTTTAAGACATTCGCTCAAATTTATACATGCACTGAAAGCATCAGTCAAAACGAGCGATGGTAAAATGTCTCAAAACATTTGGTTCCATAAACGAATTTTAAGTGATTTTTGCAACGAACTCGTGAAAATGTGTGTGTGAAAGTGTGTGTATGTGAAAGTGTGTGTGTGTATGTGTGTGTGCTTTTTAGGCTTATAAAAAATGAGTAAAATTTGATGCAATTTCGTTCCTTCTTTCAAGTCAAATGTCTTCACTTCAACTTTTTATTTACCATGCGGTGCATACCGTACCGAAATTATGACTAAACTGTCCAACATATAGCGCCACGACGGAAGTTAATGTAATCTAGAATTATGTTCGGTTGCAAACAGTTGACCAGAACTCCATTGTCGTCCGTAGTGGCGCTAGTTGCGCTACAATTTTGCATTTTATACAGTGTCGTTTTTTGACAAAATTGCAGTATGGTGCATACCAGTACCGTCTCCCAACGCTTAGAAAAACATTTCATTCGAGGCTCTTCAGTTGTAAGATTTGGTTAGTTCCACGTGCTACAGACTGAAAGGCCTTTACCGCATTGAAAATCAAATATCTTATCGATATCAGGCTAAGATGGCGCTGACGAACTGCTTGGATGCCACTTCATTTCACATTTGTAGATTTTTTCAAATAAAAAAAGTGTTACATTGTTACTGCCAATGTCGGTTTAAATCCAGATGAAAAAAGCACAAGTTTACTCATCCGGTGTGAAATCTGTCACAATTTGCACATATTTCTGTAAATGAAGTTTGTCAAAAGAGAAACAGAAAACTTGTATACATAGAAAAAAAAGCAACGATTAAAATACTGAATAGAATTTTTTTGCGAAAATTAAATGACCACATGTAATCTATTTCGTTCGTTCAATCAACTCAGATTTTTCAACTAGTTTGAGCAACATTGTAAAAGTGACAATTTCAGTTCGAGTTTCAACGCGTTGACGCCGTTATTTCGCAAATCACAATGCATAGTAACATCAAAGAGGCATGCTTAGAAATTGAACGAATTTCTTTTTTTCATTTTATTTGCAAGTCATTCCATCAAGACACATCTCACCTTCGTTACCACAAAATGTTTGTCTAATATATGCACACGTTACTTTCATATATTGTAAAACTGTTAGTTTTCCGCTTCCATTTTTCACCTTTCGTCGTAATCCATCACATACACCATGACAGAGGTGGAAGAAAGATTGCACATTGATTTAATGTCCAAAGTGTAAATCTCTAAGGTCAAGACATGAAGTAAATGGATGAAGTTTACAAAGTGTACAAGCTAGGGGATATCCATGCGAATTAGAATTAGCACATTAGCAAAAAAATAGGGAAATTTACATGAAGAAAATAGCAAAATTAGCAATAAATAGCAGAATTAGCACTGTACACGTATATACTTTAGTAAGCATTTATGCTTGAATATATTGAAATAATTAATTAAAATAAAATTCACAAAACAAACGAATTGAATAGTGTTGAACTAAAATGTATCAAAATATGTAGTTAAATACGCTTTTTCTCATTTTTAAATAAAAATATATTCAATGGCACGTAACCAAGCATGTTTCATCTGTATTAACTACAATTTACGAATTGCAATCGGAAATGTAGATTTGATGACAGATTTCTTACTGAAAACGTATACGCTAGTGCCTGCTTCAAATATACACGTTGAAAGTGTCAACTTGAAACATTTACGTAAACACATTTCAGTTATTCGATCATGCTGTCAATCTGACGTATGCAATATTTTTGACGTACTAGAGAAATTAGCAAAAAATAGCAGTATTAGAACAAACTAGTAGAAATACTAGCAGAATTAGTGAAAAATAGAGAGTAATAGCGTTTATTATTATAAATTATTCGATCTGCAATTCACGGTTATCCCCTAGTGTACAAGTGTTATTGCTTTGTCAAACCAGAGGAAAAAATTGCTCGAAGAGATTACAAAAAAGAGATGCCAAAAGAAATTTGCTTTTAAATGAACTGGCACTTTTTGGAAACAAAAAAAAAGTGGACGTCTCACGTAATAAAATTGGAGTTCGTAAAAGTAATAAAACAAACTGTTGAACTGTTTGTGCAACAAACACAGCAGCTGGTGGTTTTAACCTTGTACTTGAATTGTGCTGCATTTCACAATCAATTTAATTGCATCTCGCTTCGCTTTCAGCAAAACTCTCTCGCTTTCAATCTTTTCCGTGATCATCTGTCTGTTTCTTTGGCATCTTCCATACATTGTTATCTGAACGCTCATGCGTATTGTTGAAAAATGCAAATTACAAGCACGCTTTTTTCACGCATTGTGCTGTGTGAATGTCTTTACTAATCAATTTGATGAAAATTAATTATCATTCATAGTTTGAAATCGTATGAGAGATTTTTTTTTGCATTTTGTGAATGTGATTTTAACAGCTTTCACCGATGTGATGGGTTTCTCAACAAGTGCGCGCGCACACACACAAAACATTTGCCCCAACCAAAGCCTGCTACTTTTTGAAACCACAAGAAAGATGAAAAACCGCCTGCACCATAGATTCATCCCAAAACTGGATTAAAAATTCCGAAAGTTGCAGCCACTCACATTGCAAAATACCAGCTCAACGATTGAGAACGAATTAAAATCGACGAAAATGAATCGTTTTTGTTGCTGTTGTTGTTATTGTCATTTGTTTAAAGTGAATGTTTTAGTTGTTGTAATCGCATTACTGGTCGTATAACTTGCAATACGAATATCGAAACATTATAATAACAATAATAATAAAGAATATCGTGTTCATTGGACTATTTGAACGAAATGGCACAACAGGTATATGAACGTATTGCGTTGTTGCAACACATTCCATGCGATCATATATCGATTGTTGCACTGTTTTTTTGTCTGTGTGTTATTTTGAGACGGGAATTGGAGATGAAAAAAAAACGAAGCAGCCTGTGATTATATGTATGGCTAAAAGCGACAGAAACAATTCGATACGATAACAGAATAAACCAACTATACAAACAACCAGTAAAATAAGTCTATACATGGTAAGTCAAAATCTTGAAGTTTTGATCGTGGCTTGTTTCGTATGCTGAGCAACTAGCAACGAACCAACAACAACAGCTATTCGCGGTCAACATTCATATACACAAGAAAAAAATCGCATTTGACTTAACACACATACATCGTTATAATATCAGCCATCGAAGAATAGAGAAACACAAAACATATACATGTGTAACTATTTTGTTTTCTCGTATTTGCGCGCTCTCGCATAAGCGGTAACAAACGAGCGTGCGACGATAGCGAAAAAAAAACCGCACAAACGAATTGTGCTCGAATAAAGACTTCAGATAGTAAAATCAGCATTCAGTTACAATCAGAGATTGCTAGCGAGAAGTTTGCACAACAAAAAATTCGTCTGTTGTTACAAAAGTTTTTATTTATGAAAAAAGATATATCGATATCGGAATCGTGAATTTAAAAATAAAACTGCATCAAGTACCTGTGTTTTGTGTGTGCATATTGACAATTTCATCGGATCATATCTCTTGAATGTACGTAAAACTGTTGCATTGTTCAGTTTTGTTTTGTTTTTTTTTTTCTGCTCTTCAAAGCTTCTCTCTTTCTTATCATTGCATGTGTGTATGTTGTACTAGTTAATTGTCGATATGTTTTCATTTCCGCATGATTGCATGTCAGGTTGATTTTCTCCTATATTTCACACCCGCGCGCGTCATTGTTCAACAATTTCTCAGAAGTTTCTATTTGTTTTCCATAAAATTCCGTTGGGAGAGAAATTGTAAATAACGTTTCTTTTGCGTGTGTTTATGCGTGCAATTAGCAATGAATGATTCGATTAACTTATTTAATCACATCGTTGATTCACTGATCAATTTCCAACGTGTGTGCGCAAAAAGCAAATCAACGATCAAAAAATGATTTTCAGTGGAATAAGTTATTTTGTTTTATTCGAATATATTTTCAATTTTTGTTGTTGCCTGGCAAATTTCAAATGCAAATAGATCAATCCGCATCATGGCCAAAGTGGTTTTTGTTTTCGCCCATTCCACATTTGGCTTGAACATTATTTGGCAGTGATGCTTTTTTTTATTTGTAGTCGTGTCTCCAAATTGAGACTATAATCGTCTATTGTGAATATGATTTAATATATTTTTGTTTGGAAAAAAACTCCAGCAATTTAATTGAATCACAATCGGAATGCCATGGTGGAATATTGGTTAGAAACTTCACGTTTAAACTTAAAACTGCAATATATTGCGATCATCGCAAATTCTTCTCAATTTCATGCCATTCCACTTTTTGGATTCTGTTTCTTTTTATTTCGTTATTCTGAAATGAAAGTGAAATTTGCTTGGTAGCAATCGATTTGATATCGCATTCAGTCGTAATTTAAAATATTGTTCTATTAAATGGCACCGGTCACAAGGTGTCCTGCTAGGTCTCTTGAATTTGGATCGTTGATAGTAGTAAAAACGGCGGAAACAATAAAGTTTCGCTTTCATTATCAAGTCTATATAGAAAATATCGACCAAAAACCTGCTTCGTGTTTTTTTTTTCGGTTAAAGTTTTTTTTATCTCGAATTCTAGCTGATGATCTATTATTGATTATATAAAATGTTTTATTGATTAGTTAGGAGCCGGCTTTAGATGTCAGATAAAATGAGGAACACATTTATTTCCGCACAAAAAAAGCAACAGATTTTGCAACTTTTGAAACCATTCATTCAATTTCCTGATGTTTTTGGACTAACGTAAATTAATCAAAAAGGATGAAAATCCACTAAAATTAGCAAAAAAAAAACCGTTAATTTCATTTTTTTACATGACGCGTATTAAAACAAATATACATTTGGTTTTTCCTTGTTTCACCACAAAATGCGCTTTTGTCACTTGTCTTCAAAAAAAGAGTTCTGTTTTTACATAGGAATATACATTGAAACCGGTTCATTAAGTTGATATGGTTTTTTTGTTCATGAAAAACACCGGGATTTGTAGCGCCGATTTATTGAATCGATTGATCGATTCATGGAATCATGATTATTTTTGTTGGTCATGTTTTGGAAATTAAAAAAAAAAAAACGGGTTCAGTAGTAAAATTTTGTTCGCGCAATAACAATCATATTTTTCAGACGTAAATAGATTTTTGTTTAGAATTCGATATTTTTGGAATTTGATGACCAAGAGATTTTTACACTTTGACAAAGTTTTCAGTCCAAATGAATCATCATTTTAGTGTATTTAACAAGTGACATAAGTTGGACAAAATGGAAAATATCTATATATAGAGAGAGCCCATGTCAAAGTCAATTGTTTGACCACCCACACTTGATCGTTTGCTACTGCAATATGAATTCTACACGATCGATAAATTATGCATCGCTCAATCGAATAGCAAAGGTCACATTTAATGCGAAATGAAGATGCATAATTTAAACATGCGATATTCACTTACGTAATGAGCATATAATTTACAAGGCGGTAAATTTTCTCTTATTCTGTTCCATTCTGTTTGTGTTTATTATGTTTTCCAAAGTTGTACAAAATGCGTACGATTTTATCATATGAATTGTATGGTCTTTTTTTCGGTTTTTGTTTACTCATTCAACAAAATAAGAATGAAAATGATTATTTCACATTTTAATATTCAATTCTCGACGCTTCTATTCTTTGCATCTGATTTCATTGTCTTTTTTTCTCTGTTTCGTTTCTCTTGGAAATTTCAGCAAAATAATAATTAAATTGGTGATATCATCTATATGAATTTAACAGGACAGCATTCGGCTACTGTGAGCGCGTGCTATATCAAAATATTGTAATTTAACAAAAAAACAAGAACGTCAAACCAAATACAACGTCAAAACATTTCTTCAGTGGAGGTATACCAGAAAAAACTGATTAAATGAACGTTAAGTGTCTGGAAAATCTATTGATAGCATTCTGCAATTTGTAAATTACGAAAAAAAAAGAGATTCTCAGATCGAACGTCTCAAACGGCTAGACTTTGAGAAACCACAAAGTTACGTTACTCTACGGAACGAGGAACGAACCGAGTCAAAGACATTTTTTTTAAGTGGGCAATTATAATCGAGCCGAGAAAAGAGAAAAAAAAAAATTTTTGAAGCACAAACCGCAAACAGATGACTTTGAAACACTAAAAATTATGCGAGCATACGATGCAAAGCGATAGCCAGATGTAACAAATGAGATAAAATTCAAATAATCAATGCTAAATTTGAAATTAATTATATGATTATTGGCGCGAAAGGAGGAATTGTCTCTCGCTTTTTATTCGATTCATTTTTCCATACACACTTGAAGAGTTGAAGCGTCGCCTAATTAATTTATTGATATTGCATTCCGCACTTTTTACTGAATCAGTGTTTTTAATCACATCGATATCGCAGGAGTCACTTTCGAGAGGTCGTAAAAGACATAGTCGAGAGAGAAAGAGAAATAAAAAGAAACAACAACATTCATAATTTGTTTATGAACCTTCAGCGAATACCAGATTTGCGTTTGAATTGACAATTTGATTATCTGTTTTTTTTTCTACTTCTGTGGTTAATGTGGCAAAACAACGAAAGGCAACGAACAAACAATTCGTAAGCCATCCGAAAGAAAGAAAGAAAGAAAGAAAGAATAAAGTCGACAATCAAATTGCAAAGCGACGAAAATGACGCGTTTTTGTGCATACGTGCTTATCAGCGCAACAGTCCTTTTTGAAGTTGTCATTGGTCAAAATCAACTAACTCAATATAGCACCAGGTAAGTTCTTGAAAATATTTTTTACTCTTTTATTCCTCTTCATGTTTGCGTGCATTTTAATTCATAACCATTCATTTGATTGTCACATTTCAATTCGTTTTCATGGTACTTTATTGGCTTTCCATGGAACACCTTTTGAACATTGTAAACTATATACATTCAACTAGGTTCAGATCTGTTTTTTTTTTTAAAGCGGACAAAACAAAAACCAGTTCGCAACTGATTTGGTTTACAAATTTGTTGGCGTTGGAAGGAAAGATGACGCCAAAAACCATCAAACCACTTTTTTATGTGTCTTATCAATGTTTTTTTTTTTTCATCTCCGCGGTATCAAACAAATGTTTAGAGTAATTCTTGTTAAAAATCGATACTAAACAAATACGAAAATATATGTGCAAAAATGACCATGTAAAATTATTTTATCGATGATCGTATTTTTTTTAGAGCGAACCAAATTAAGATATAAACCTTCTATCGTTTTTGTTTGAGACGGGCATCAGTTCCAAAGTGCAATCCACGAAATCGCCTTCTTATTTTCTCAAACAATACACACACACCACACACGTAATAGATTAAATCAAAAACATCTGCAAGCATGACATATAATCAAATATTCATCATGATGCCGTCAAATATTCAATGCCATTGCCAATGAAAATCGTAACAGTCCAAACCAATTTAAATTTGGCTATTTTGTTTTCCATAATGTCCAATATTTGAATCAAATGTAGCACGGAGAGAGATAGAAAGAGTATAGCGTTAAGTAAAAAGACGTTTGATAAAAATGTTTTTCATGTGACACAAACTCATTCTTAAAATGAACAATTTAATAATCACTTCAAACAAATCGAATGAGCGCACAAAATAAAATCCATTTTTTTGGTATATAATTTCACTGTAGAAGCAGCTGAAAATTAAATGGGCATATTTTTATTATAAATGTTTATACAATGAGCTTAATAACTACACTTTGGTTAGTGGTTGCATATAATTTCGAGAAAAAAAAACGCCACTTTGCTTGCGGTACACACACAATGCACATCGAACAAATGCCGTTGTGGATTTAAGCGGAAGAAATACAAACGCAGCAAAGTACTAATTACAACAAAGAGTCAATTGTAAGCATGTTGCATTCGAAATACGGTACAGAATTACAGTGCAGTATGCGAAAAATGTTCAGACAAACCGCGACACCGGTGTGAATGATTAGGAACAAAAGAGCAAAACGAATTAAATTCGGTTTTGTTTTGCACAAAACATTTAATGATATATGATATATTGACCCATTGTTATTGTCTCACTAATCATGAAAAAATTATGAATTCGTTGCAGAACAAAAAAAATGTACACGCATTACACAGAAAATGCTTCTGTACACCACAGCATTTGTCATTTCCAGATAAAAATTCCTGTGCAAAATACAACGTACATAAGTATGAAATGGTATATAGAGAGCGAAAAAAAAATGTGACAACCATTATCATCGGGCATGAACTTTTTTCGACACTAATTATTCTGAATTTATGTTATTTGTTTGCCCAAACGTTTTTTTTTATGTCAAACATTTAAAGAGATTGAAACACCGTTTACATGCCGATTAAAATCTCTAGACAGAAATGTTTTTTGTAATGCCTTTGTAAGAAAAAAAAACCTATCCCACAATTACAAAGAAATGTGTGTATACTCCCGCCCGTCTGATGAATAAGTTTAACACATATTTTATTTGAAGCCAAATACATCGGTTGACTTTCGCAATGTGCGAGTATGAGACATAATTTTGTGGCCATTGGCACGCACCCTGCATAGAAAACAGTCTATTACAGATGAACTGCGCAATTTTTGTTGTCATCGTCGAAAGTCAGTCGCTGTCTTGTGTTCGGTCAAAATCCAAGTAGGAAGAAATAATGAGCATACACATTAATCGTTGTTAACATGGATTCAAATATTAATGATGACATTCTCGCATGCTTGAATCGGCGCTGCATATGTTTTCATTTTTGCTTTTCATCTTTCACACCGATTCAGATGGGATACATACACACTTACGACGTACTGTCGATTTGACTTTCGTGTCGACTTAAATTGTGAGCCATAATAAGTCATATATTATTACAAAGAACTTTATTCAGTTCGCATGCATTCATATTTCTGGATATAGTTCGTGTACGGAATACGCCATGTACATGTGGCAAAGTGAGCGAAAAAAAATTGCCGCTTAAATTTTTCATTCCTGTTCACTCTCCGGTTCAACTGCTTTTACTTTTATGGGTACAATGTAACCTTGAACCTTTTACACCATTCTTTTTTTAAATCGTTTTTCAGTACGTGTTTGTAAGTCGAGTCAATTACTCACATGATTCTCGGCACCTTTCTGACAGTAATTTTCCACTGCTGCCAATGTGTATGTGTGTGTGTATTTATTTTTAAGAGTCCAATCAATTTTACTAGTTTGCAAAAATGACTAAATTTGGATGTCTGGAAATTATGCAAAGAAAGATAACAAAAACTGCATACAGAACGAAATTCAACGAAATGAAAACCCTTGAGCCAACAATGTAAATCAAAAATCACACTATTTTTTACGCCATCCACACAGACAGATATTATTTTTACCGAGAAACGCCCACACTCACAATCGCCAGACGATACCAAAAAAATCCTCTTTAATTTAATCCATTTTCAAATCAATTCGGATGCCATCCATTGAATACACAAGCACCTTTGATCACAATCCATACACATATTCCTATACATGCCATATGATGTTCTCACCGAATTAGTTAATTACATTTTCTACTTTGGACAATTTCGGACAATTTACATAATGACCCACATATTTAGCGTCAAATTTTGCTAAGGCTGAACTTGAACGTGAATATGTGTTTTTTTTTTGTCTTAATTTTTCTTCTCTCTTGATACTTTTTTTCTTCTCATTTGGTCATAGAAACATCGCCTTGTTTTGACGATAATTTGAATTTGAATTGGCCATGGCATGTTTCATATCGGTTCGACGCGTGTTCTTTTATCATTTTAAGTTCACCCGCGTTATACATTTGATGATATAATTCGTCGTGTACAATTGTACATTCTTTGGTTGGAAATTAAAATCAGTTTAATGGTTACGATTTTTGCATAATGCAAAATATTATGCTTCTCGCCTTCATAATGGCTTTCTTTTTTTTCTGCCAAACATTTTTCTGGCATCAACTGGATGTATATTTAATGAAAGCACTTGATGCGAACAAAAAAAAAATACACGCTGATATAATATCACACAAGTGAAAATGGAGAGAGAGACAAAGACCATGAAAATGTCAATTTTTCTCGCCAATGTCAATCATCGCGAAATGTCTTCCACCCAAAAAAACGTATTTCGGAAACTGTGGCACAGGCACAGAGAAAAGAGCCGAAAATGAAAAAATCGATTAGTGTTTTTTTTACTAATTTATTGTACAAAATTGTTAATTCGAATTTGAACGAAACCAATCATATAGGATTAGAACAAAGTAAGAGAAATAGGAGTATTAATTATTCATGGTTCCATCAAGCACATACACACAAGAAAAAAGTTGTCCTTTTTATAGAAAATTATAATAATTTTTTTATTCTTTTCTTTTTTTTGTGGTTAACATTTATAGATATAATAATCTGAATGTTGATCAAATCTTGTCGAGTGACCGTTTGGTGACGAATTATGTTGAATGTCTATTGAGCCGTAAACCATGTCCACCCGAAGGAAAAGATCTGAAACGTAAGTACTTTCATTTCAAAAAAAAAATCGTTGTCTTTTCAATGGTCAAGTCTAATGTCACACAGAACATTTAAATCGACAAAGAATGAATCCATCATCATATCAGCTGAATATTTAATGAATATTCATATTTAGCGATAAAAAATCCAGCTTTTGGCAATTAATTTTAGCATTAGATTTTGTCTATGTTACGCATTCATTCGCATAATTTACTATTGCCCACGATATTTTGTGTAATCGGTCAATGATGATAATGATGATGTGAGAGAGAGAGAGAGAAACATGTGCTTTTTTAATGTCTGCTATAGGTGTAAAAGATGTGGCATTTCATCGTCGCATTAAATTGATCTCATCGTTCGAAGATTTTTGTCGCCAGCAAAGTTATTTTGCCAAATGAATCAACCATCACTCTAATCATAATGAATCGTTGGCTTTGCGATGTATTTTCAAATTGGACTGTTCATGCATTTATTTCGTATGTGAAAACGTGTGTGTGTACGTCATTTATAAATTTATCGCATTGATAATTTTCGTTCAAAATGTTCGTAATAATGTTGTTTTTGTTTTTGTTATTGTTTGAATTCAGTGCGGAATAAATCTGCATAAATTAAAAGTCGAAAATTTATGGCCCTCCAAGAAATTAAAATCGGATATTTTTCGGTGCGCCATCAAATGGCCTTAACCAACGAATTTTTTTTTATAATGATCTATAGAAGAACCAATTCGCTCGTGCCGAATGTTTATTTTCAACTCGAGCTCACTATGTCTGGAATTCGATATGATCCGAATGACAATATAAACAATAATATTTTTACGATATGATGAATAGACCTAATGAAAACCGATAATGACATTTACGACGATACATATGACTTTTGATTAATAATTCGATCCATGAAGGGTGTTGATATCGTTATGTATCATTTAAGAATTGTCATTTGATATTATTTTAACTTTAACCGATGCAATTCACAGCACACACAAAAATAGATAACCACAATCATATGTCACATTTTCAATGTCAAACCATGTGGAAATGATGAAAGTTTATAGTATTTTTGTGAACGTGACAAAGTATATTTTATCGCGGTAAATTGCAAATCGCCGTCACATTTTCATATAATAATGTAAACCATTAATCAAAAAGGCTCCCATGAACATGACCACTTAATTCCTTATTGTCTCTGTTCCGGTGTGTTAAATTCATAGAATTAGTTCCTTTTCGGACAATTTATAAGTTTTGATAACCCATTTGGAGTTTTAACGAACTCATGAACGAAACCGAATAAAATCCATTTGAAGCAATAAATTTAAGTGAAAAACCTTGTTTAACATTAAAAAAACGTGATTGTTTTGAAGAAGAACGATGAATTGTGTCCAAGACATAAAAAAATATACGAATAAAAGGACAGATTAGTTTGTATAAAATAAAATATTTTTGACATATATCAATCATTATGTCGATTATATCATAACGTAGTTATCAAAGTCGAATGACCCCGACATCAGATACTTTCCTTGGATTTGCTTTTGCACCATTATTATAGGCTAATATAAATGAAAATTCGATGCCATAAATAAATAAAAGCATTCATTGAAACTTTTATAACGTCATTATAAATGTATGCATTTTTATGATTCACCGATCTGTTTCTAATTGAATAAAATTCGGAACAAAACTTGATTCGAAATATGAGTCAAGTAAAATGAAAAAGATGTTATCGAAATGTTTGCCATTTTCACTTCATTTTTGATAAATTTTATGGTCACCTATTGACAGCATCTTACAAATTTTTATATAGTTTACAAAGTAAGCGAAATATATCTCAAAATTGACGAAAAATTTTGCGTATTCTCTCAGGAATGAAATATTTATTTTAAAAAACGTTTGTATCCGTCTAGATCATTCAAAGTCGCATTAGATTATTCAAAAGAAGATGTTATCGAATGTAACGTCTAACGAACATTTGAATAGATCATTTCGACATGTACGATATCTCTTCCAACTGCATTTTAAATCCTGTAATATATTCTGTACGCCGTTAATTATAAGAAGGATATAATTAATGCAAATTAAATTAGTTTCGATAAATCACAAAGTTTTGATATGTTTCTTGATAATTCTGTAACGAAAAAATAATTTATTCGACAATATGGTGCCAGTTTTGTGGCGATTGTGCGTGAGCCCGCCACGAGCAAGCTGGTTTCAAAATTTTAATTGTCGCCAAATGTTTTTTTTTTTTTAAACGCTTCATCATTTTGATTTTGATAGAGGATATCATCAGGCGTAGAAGAATAATCTTAAAAATAACAGCAGAAGATAAATTCCTCCAAAAGAATCATTTGATGTGATGTCATAGATTTTTATACGGTATGACTGAAGGATTACATAATTTGACCATTACTGTTTGACCCACAAATGAAATCAAACCCCAAAAATAGCTCAACGAACAACGGCGCACAATAGCAACGGCAATTAATTAACTGAGTCGAATAAAAATCATTGGAAACGTGGCAGCAATTAGTTGAAACAATGGCTTTTCAAATCAAAAGTTCATTCATTGAATTAACACCGTTCTAAAAGTTAGCGAACCTGGTGCCAGTTGTTGTTTTTTTTTTGCACATGCTATTCACACATTTTGCAAATGTAAAATACCCATTTCTATTGATAATAAGATGAATGACCAGCACGTAGAATGATTTGTAATGGCCTATTCAATTGAGAAGAGAAAAAATAAACAAACTAAAACCAAATCGGAAGCATAATAATGGATGAGAAGAAGAAAAAAAATGCCGCAAATAATAATAATCGTTTGGTAAAGCGTATCAAATGGTGAACGCGCATTGAGCACACAATTGAATGCTTTGTAAGCAATTGCTTTATCATTGGTGGAGTTTATTCTTGACGATTGAATTCAGCGTCGATCGAAGCACTGCGGTTTAGCAAAATTATTTGCTGAATCAACCAATCTATTTAAAGAAATGAAATGTCGATTTGACTAACATACTTTTATTGGTATAGTTTTAATTGATGAGTGAATGGATCTTCCGAATTCATTTAATTTAATGTATTATCAAGCATTTCCCATCGTAACAAAGTTAACCGTGCATTTTCAATGATTACCAAATTGACAAGAGTGATAAAGTGATGTTATCGCTAATAAATTGGTTTGTTGTGTCTTTTGATTTCAGCTTTGATGCTTAATTAGTTTTACGATTAACGATGCTAAAATATAAACAAATCTAGTGAACGGTAGCCGTCCAGATGGCAATGACAATTAGCGATAGTCTTTTAATAGCAACAATCTACAACAAATCATCCGAAAAATGGAAGAACAGAAAAAAAACATCATTGGTCCGTAAAAAAAAATAAATCACAGAAGAAATGAATATTCACCAAAATATCAAGGTGTTTATGATACGGTTAAATGAATCTATCCGATTCAAAATAAGGTTCATTGACAATAAAATCAAATCAACCACAAAACCAATTAAAGAAATGTGCATAAAGGCGTAAAAGACGAATGCATAATAATGAATGTGCGTTGACGCAAAAAACTAGAAGTCAAAGAAAAAATGGTCCAGCCTTTATGGTGTGCATGAGCAAACACGTCAAGGTGCCACTTGAAATTTGTATTTTCGAATTTTTCCCAACTATTGATTTTGTTGTGTGATCGCATCCCCCACAAGAAGAAACAGTAAACATTTAATATTTTTAAAATGATAAAATATCATCGCATCGAAAATGGTTTGAGTATTCAGTGCTCGCATATTTATCGGAGTCGAACATTTTCTTTTCTCACTTATTCGGTTCCGGTGAGTATTATTTGTCTGGGGATTATGGCAAAAATACACCTAATTTACATCTTATTGTTAGGCATACGCCAATGCTGATATAAGCTTGTGGTCATTACTTTCACTTTGAGCGACGACTAAATGAAAGCGATTCATCATTCAAATCACGAAGAAAGGTGTTACAAAAACCGCAGACGGCGGCCAGCACGAAATAAATAATATAAAAAATGACGGCAAGCGCGACGTCCAAATACATCGACAGAGCTGTTGGTCAAAAAAAAAAAACAGTAAATATAAAAAAAGTCGACACGAAATGCCATAATCAAAACAAATAGAGAGAAAATTAAATAAAAACAAAGAAGATGGAGAAAAGAGAAAACTAAATACAAGACATTACATGGCGATCAAATAGAGCGTTTTTGCATTATATTCCAATTCAATTTTTAAATTTATACACACGCACACACACGTGCTAAATGACATGCATGTTAATTAAAATACGAGAACTTGTGAAAACTTAGAAAACAGGTTCAAATGACCAATCTATTTAAATGAGAGTGTTTTATTGCTGCTATTTTGCATGACAATATAGCATTTTTTTGTTCTATTTTTAAGACGATATAAAAACCGAGCAGCCGCTTGATTGTCATATTCAAATAATTGAAAAAGATTTAAGCGTCGAACCTGTGTGCAATAATCAAAAGCAAGAGAATACGAGCAATCGATACGATTAACACACATATAAAGCACATGTAGCCATGAGCGAATAATTACAGTATGGAAACGCGTCAACATATCCAAATGCTGGATTCAAATTACAATGTATAATTCTTTATAATAACAATGTGACAATTAGAACATGTTTTAAACTGACAAATGCACACTTATTCAATCGAACAGTTGCATTCATGCGGTGTTCTCAATTAAATGTAGTTTCTCAAGTGAATCGTCCAGTATATACGGACAAAGAATTCAACTACGGTAGAATGTCATTTAAATTCTTAATGATATCAATCAATGTGTGTTTGTAGTTTAAAACATGAAATAAAAATCACCATTCATTTGTGCGAATGCGAATTTCCTCATTGTACATTTCCGCCAAATTTTGATCTGTCTTCAGTTCAATAGATAATCCCAAATCAGAGCATCTCATTAACGAAAAGTACGCACTTTATACAATTGTTATTACAATCATTATTTTTTTATGAACCAGAAGATGAGGTAGAGCAACCCGGTAACAACTTGGTTCAATAATAAGCAAATTAGTCTAATCCAGACAATTCTTTTACCAGAGGGATTGAATCGTATTTGAATAGACACTCGACTTCAATGTTTACTCAACATTTGAGCGAAGATGCTAGAATTTTAATTGGGTTAACAATGGTAACGCAATAAAACTCAAACTGACCGATGGTTAAAAAGAAGTAAACATAGAATGTGAGCGGTGTTGAAAAGAGACATCCACACATTGAAATGCCAATAATTCAAATCAAAATCTGATCGTTTTTTTATCGCTTGAATCTTCTCGATTTATATTCAAAAAAAAAAAAAACAGTTAGATGTTGTGCACAAGGTCAAAATGCTGTTTAAAATCTTGAAACATGTATAATTTTCAGTAAGAGAGAAAAAAAAACGATGACGACTATGACTGTATTTTAGATTGTTTGTGTGTTTTTGTTGAAGTGTGTTTTGTTGTTGTTCGGTGGTTTTTTTTTCTCATCTCAAATGTGAACAATTACTACTTCTTGATTTGTAGGCAAATTTTCTTGGCACCCATTAAAATATCTCGATTTTTTCGCCATTTTGCTATAACTTTGCCTCTCGTACAAGGAATAACAACAAAAAAAACACGAAAGAAATGAGAAACATCTAGCAAAAACCATCGTGATATAATAAGTGTATGCGTTGTTGCGCACATGTCACTCTCAATAGGAATTGACCAATACATATTATTCTTCTATTCTTTTTTTCATAATCTTGAAAATAAGTTGTAATCATATTAAATGAGAAATTTTTTAATAAAAACGACAACAGCGATGACGACAACAACAACAAAGTCATAATGTATGGAACACATGCTCATTCATCTTGAATCCATTTCGAGATTTATCGACTGTGTTAAAGGTTTCAAATGGCAATAGAAAATGTTGCCAAACAACTGCAACTTCGAATAGATGAACTAGCTTAACAAATAGGAAAAACGTCAACATTATCGTCACTGTCTTGTTCTGTCACTGAAACTAGTTGCCCCTACATGATGTGCCAACATGTTCACTTTGATTGTTGGTCGTTGTTGACATGTGTACACCGTCAAATAAACGAATTCAAATGAAATGTAAATGAAACGGATTGTAAACCGAAGACAATTTTTGTGCGGGACCTTTTTTTGTAATCAAACAACATATTCGTGATTGTTTTTCCAACATTTTTTTCTGCTAATGTTTTTGGCGATAATTCGTTCTATTTTTTTTCTCTTAATAAATTTTTAAATCAGCGATTAACACTGATGCGAATTTATCGATACTCGCTTCTAACGAGAAACACTTTGTTCTACACAAGTCGGCCTTTTTACTATTGTAATTAAAAAGTTTTTAATCATATTAAGTGCAAGAAAATTATGGGTTATGTCTTTGTCTGTTATTCAATTTGTAATTTCTTACAAGTAAATGCACTACACACAAAGTTGGGATGAAAAGTTTATAGTTATTTCGATATAGCAAATACGTATTCGCTTCGTTTGCATTCATCGAATTTCGTTCGGTATACATATAAAGTCAAGAAAAGAATATGCAACTGAATCAGTTGTGTGCGATGAAAAATAGGAATTCAATCAAGCCGCTCATTTAAAATGCACACGTAAACACTTGAAATACAAAGAAACAAGTTTCAATCGAACACGAAAGAAGCGGATGTGAATGAAACAAATGAGCGCGCTTAAAACAATACATCATTGACGTCGTTATATGCATTAATAAGACGCGTTGCAATATTCCAAAGATTATTATTAATTCAGTCGATAAAGTATACATGTATATATATTTTCTATGCCATTGTCATTTCAAATTTCCGTTTGTATGTTGCGCTGCCGTGTTTTCGTTTAGCTTAAGCACTGATTAAAACTTTAATTTTGGTAGGTACACCATCAAACATTTAATCTTTCCTAATTTCGATTCAAAAACAATGACAAACTTGGTGTCTGTGTGCATGACGCTTATACTTTGGTGGTTCATGCGAAATATTATAAATCCACAAGTGGAATGCCATAAATGTTGATATCGAAAGAAAACGAGACATTGAATGTGGGTCAATCGGAGTGCCATTAAATCATTTGTATCGTTCACAGTGTTGGTGTGTGGCACCAATGTTTCAAAGTGTTTTGAATTCTTCTGTTAGATTCTTGGACCTTGCATCTTATAACCAACTCACACACCAATGATAAAATTTTCAGTACAAAACGCATTGACCATTTAATGCCAAAATGTCGTAAATTCTATTCCAAAAAAGTCAAGGTCTTTTCGTGTACGGTCTCAATTTTTCTTCATCTACCATGTCATTTTTCCATTCTTGGTGTTTGGCATCGAATGCGGATAGCCAAACGTTATTCAAATTCATGGGCATGAGCGATTAGATTATTTTCAATGGAATAAAAAAAAAAGATATTTGATAAAATTCAATTTCTTTTCGGCACACTCACACAGTATACAGTTGAATTCAATTTTATAGTAGTATCAATGTCAATGCTTTTATCCATGCATATCGTTCCGGTGCCAATAAAAAAAACTGCTTATCATTTTGTGTTATGTTTTGTTGTTGTTGCTTGAAAATTATTTGACTATTAGTTTGCTTAGTTTGTTTGCATACACTTGTCAAGATTCGTTCAGTTCCCATAACATATTCATTGCAGATGAGATGTACAATTTTGCAGTTTATCGGTTCGTTCGTACGGCAGCTTAATAAATATGAAACTAGAGTGTCTAAAATATTCAATTAAATTATTCAAATTGAATGTATCCAATAGTGATACTAAAATCGGATCGATATGTATATACATTCTGTCATCGAATTCAATGACACACATTATCAAAATTGTATTAAGAAAACATGAAATCGAAAAATGTGTTGATTTTTTCCATTGATAGACATTACATACTCATGATGTCAATTCACACGACGAAAAAAGCTAGATTGAAGCCAAAAGCTATCTTATATCGGCAAAAGTTCACATTCATACAGAAATTGATTATGAAAAATTATTGATGATAATACAATATTGTTTCTTTTTCTTATGGAAATAAAGAGAAAATAATCTTGAGTTTTCCATATGTTTGGCATGATAAGCCGTGATTGGCGGCATCTCCGAATTGGAATGAATGTGATGGAAAATCAGTGAAATTGGATTCAGTGAAATACTGATAATGATAGTAATAATCATATTTGAGTAAGTTATGCAAAGTCATTGGACCCATCAAAAAGCATCATTTAACGAAAGATTGGCAAAATGTTGATGTGATGTGAACGCACAAAGTCAAAGCAAGAAAATAATAACCGATGATAAAATATTGTTATTTGAAAAGCGTTGAAGAATTGAGGAAAACACATTGAACGCTGATGCTGACGCAGATTGCGACCACCAATAAAACCATGAAAAACTCGATAGTCATCATCTACTACATGAAAATATATGCACAGATGAAAAACTTTGGGCCACACGGTGCCGAATCGAATGTGTGCATGAAGACAAACACGTAATTCAATCAAATTTCAATAATAATGGCAAAAATTGAAATATATCCCAAACTTCCGCCGTAAATTTGTTTGCCGATGGTAATTTGTTTACCAACAATTTTTTTTTTGGCACATGTGTCATTGTTTTCTTCGAATTTTTCGAAAAGAAAAAATGCTGACGCACACGCGCATTGCTATCATTTGTAATTTTATTACCATAATTTACCATAAAAGTAGTTTGTTTACTTTGGTCCAATGTGTGAATCGCGTTCAATTTTTTTTGTTCGGCATATTTCCATCGTGTTTCTTTTGTAACTCAATGATGGCGTATTTACGTCGACGATGTTGCACTAAATGTTCGAAATGATGTGGTGAATCCAATAGCAACAATGAATTTATTTCCAGTTGCTTTGGAATTGGGAGTGCTTCAGACTTTGTTCACATGATAAATATAATAAAATTTCAGTCTACAACTCAATCTGTATCGAATGCGTCGCTTTATAAACATAAATTTGTGAATTCTAAAAATAAAATTCAACTTAAAAAAAAGCTTAAGCAATAAAGGGAACAAAGACGTACAAATGTTTACAAACGAAAACGGTATTACCGATATTCTGGCTGAAAGGTGGCCACGTTAAAAGATTCGACTTTGGATTGAGATAAATGTGAGATCCGTTCACTTCCGTCATCAACTGTATTCTTCAAAAGAATTGATGTTCACCGTAGATTATTGCCATATGTAAATGTGTTACGATATAGCAAAGTTCTTTTATGTTATTTTAAATTCTGAATAAAAACTGATCGATGTGTTCTATTATTAAGAAGTCAGTCGATTTAAATGGCAAAGAACGCTACTTGTTAGTTCGCCTGTGTCGAAAATATTGTCAACAATTAAATTATGGTGTCGGATGTTGTTGTGTTTTTTTTTTTTTCATTCTCTGTGGACCATGTGAGGCGTGAAGAGAAAACAAGTGATAAACAAATCAAATTTATAAGAGAGACGAAAAGAAAAAGAGGGAATAAAAAAAACATCAAACATCAATAATGATTGAAAGGAAAGTTATTTTTAGGATAGAATATTCTGAAATATCAGAAATGATAGTAAATTTCAAACTTTATGGTGTGTGAAGAAATGTCGAAATACAAACCTTGAGATACAAATCGATATAATTAGGTTAGACAGGGCATTAAACCACCTACGTTTTTCGTTTCGCTTGTGAGACTATGTGTTTGATTCGAAAGGACGGTCCAAAGTTATCGGTATGCCGATGATTCAACGCCAAAAATACACAAAAACACACAAACACAACATTTTCAATGTCAAAACAACCACTTCGCATGAAAAAACTGATTCGATTTTTTTATTTATTTGGGATGATTTTCAGGTATATTGCCAGAAGCATTGAGAACAAAATGTGCACGTTGTTCACCGCAACAATTGGAAGGTGGTATGCGTGTAATTACAAAACTCTACTACGACTATCCAACGCAATACAGTCGTCTTCGGGCCAAATGGGACCCAACCGGCGAATACCATCGACGTTTTGAAGAATACCTTCGCGGCTTGCAATTCAATACCATAAATAATGATCAATTATCACGTAAGTGCATTGAATGATTTTTCACATGTAAAACGGCTTATATTCGAGTCTTTTCGATTGATTTAGCACAACCAACGGCAGGAACGTCAACAACCACCGCACAAAAAATACCGACAATTGTTGCATCGGCATCTTCAAATACTCAAAATGTCATTCCAACGGCATTACCATCCGCAACGGTATGTAACCATTACAATTACGTTAATTTATCGTATAAAATTTTAAATTTATTTTGTATATTTTCAAAATGATTTCTATACTCAACATTCGCACACACACATTCACAAAATCGGTTTAATGCAAAATGTTCACCATCACCACAATTTAAAAATGAATGCACAATTGAAAATGCACAATCTCAATTCCACCGTTGGCCACCAAAAACAACAAAAACCCAAAAATTGATTGGCGCACACACTCACAGGCTCTGTTCAATAATACACAAAGACCAGCACGTAATCCGGAAATAGCACAAAAGCCAAGCACAAATTCGGTTGCACCTCCGGTCGGTATTTTCAATCGTTTCGCAGCTGATGATGACGACAATACATCGGGCGGTGATTCAACTGTTTCTCTACCGGTAGTGGTTTGTTTTCTTTTTATTATTATTTTGACTTTTTTTTGTACATATGTTGAACATTTTTTCAAATTTAAATTATTATCAATGACAAAAAAATCTCTTTATCAATTTACCAGTCGCACCGAATTTAATCGATCAATTCGAGACTATTGAATGATAAATCATTTTGGTTTTTGCTTTTTTTTCTATTTTTTCTCCTTTGCCTAGACAACGACGACCCGACGTACAATGCCTACTTTGGCGGCAGTTCCATCACAACGAGCCACTCAAGCGACAACAAAACGACCAGCAAAACGTCCAAATGTTGTTGTAAATGAAACACCAGCTACGGTAAGAGTATCTAAACATCCTAACAAAGTTGTGAGAACAACGAATCAGCCATCGACCGTTGAATACACGATTTACACATACAATGTAAATATCAATCAATTGACCGAGAATCGTCTATCTGTGACCTAAACTGCTGCTACTCTGTTCTGCCTTTCTATCTCTCTATCCCTCTTTAATGTATACCTTCACTCTTCACTTCACTATGACCTTTATTTTTGAAACATGAACTACGTTTTATGTATTTGAAGCTTCAGATCAATTAATCAGTTGTACAGACCAACCGTAAATCAAGTTAATTTCTCAAATTGATTCAACTTTTCTTTCCGTCCTTTTTCGCAAGTCAATCGATCCTTTTCGGACAGCCATAAAACCGCGTAATAAGATAGAAAAAACATACGAATTGATGGAACGAATCGAATGTCATTTACATAATAAAAGCTGAAAAAATCAGTCATTTTAGCAGATTTATAACGATGCTAATGGCTTTGGCTGGATGGAAAAATTTTTTTATATGAAACAAACACGACGGCCACGTGTAGCATCCGTTTTTAGAACTTTTGGAAAATTTCCATTCAGCACATGAAACTTATTCCATTCGTTTTTGTTTTTGCTTCGAATTATTATGACTGTGGTCATCATTGTGGAAATATGATATTTTACCGCATCCTTTTACAAAAACGAAACTTTTCGTATTCCATCTATCTATCTTGCTAATTGAATTTTTGCCTTGTTTTGATACGATCTTTATATTTAGTAGCATTGAATTTAACGCCTTTGTTTACAATATCATCAAATAATACTCATGCAAAATGAAATTCGAAGAACGATGGAGCTTGTTTCATTTTTTTCACGAGAATTCTCAATCTTTACAATTTCCATCTCCAAAGCTACCACTTTACATTTGATTGCCCGAGAATGAATGTGAGAGAGAGAGACTTCTCCTGAGATTTTATTGAAATGTAATAGAATGTAGTCAGCACTTTTTGTATGGCGGTGTTATATTTCAATAAAGTCACAGGAGAAGTCTTTCTCACATTCATTCTCGTACAGCCATTTTAAATATTTACTCCGAATTTTAATGGACCATTTTTTTTTCAATATATTTTTTTCTTCTTTTATTGTTCTGGAACGTGTTTTCTTCCTCTTGTAATTTGTTTATTTGGACTTTGTTCAGACTCAGCCGGATGTAGTGTACATTCAAACACAACACCCTTTGATCGGTTTGATAAATAGCATCGGATTCAAAATATCTAACACTGCTGACTTCTTTGCTGGTATGCTGCGCGGAACTATCGAGGTAATTGAAAAAAAAAGACGCAAACAATATATAACTGCTCGGCCAAAAGTTTCGAATAAAAAAATCAAAAGAAAACAGAAATTCAACAACCATAAAAAATGTATCAGTTCAGCTCATTAACCATTTTATTTATATGTATGTATTCCCATTGTCTCAATTGAATTTGACAAAAAAACGAAAAAAAAATGCTAAAACTGCGTTTCGTGACACAATTTGATAATAAAGTGCCTCCAAGTATTGGAAAAATGGAAGCGAAGCTTTGTCTAAGAAAAATTGTGAGGCAAAGTGCATTCTGCGCAACAATCGCATCACTACGCTCTTCCTATCTCTACATCTTAACGTTAACTGAATCCGAAATAAACACACAAAAATAGAGCCGGATGGACTTTATGGATATTGCCTGACAAGAGACAATAGGCAAACATCAAGATTCATATGCACACACACACATACATACCATTCATGTCAAACCTCAAACTATACTTCATCAAGTGTCCAAGTAATCATAATTCGACTCTTGACATTTCCTCTATAACCAAATACAATGAAAACCTCTACCTGTCCACTCTTTGATAGTCACTTAGTCACATAAAAAATCAATGTATTAATTTATTAAATAGATTTATTTATTTATTTCATTTGAATATTTGAAAGCAAACATTTGTTAGTAAATTATTTGTGTGAGTAGACTAAGACATCTTAATATAGGAGCCCCATAGGTGATGACGAGGGTTCCTAGGGATTACCCCCCTCTAAAATATTTTTAGGAAACCTCAACAATTTTGGAAATAAGGACCTTATTTTTGCTCTTCGCTTTTTTTGGCCGAGAGTTTTTCGTCAAAAAAGTGAAGAGCAAAAAAAAACGATTCCTCATTTGCTAGAGAATTTGGAGTTGAAAAATTCTTCCGATTTGCTAGAGATTTTCGCCAAAAAAGTGAAGAGCAAAAAAACGATCCTCATTTCCGACAAATTGTTGACATCGTCAGGGACCCCCCATGGATTTTTCCAGGGACCCCCTACGGAATTTTGCCATCATCCCCCCTAAAAAAAATTACGTCATCATCTATGTAGGAGCCCCATTGTCCATTTGTGAACATACCCGAAATTTTAAATGTTTCCTTTTAGAGACAACGAATAATTTTGTTTGCATAGACATTTTTTTTTTCATTTCAATTTTAATTTAAATAATTTGTACTAGATAATAAAACATAGTTCCTCATCCATTTTCCGTTCATGCATTTTTAAATGCATTTAATTTATTGAACATAATCAAGTGCTAGTTTGTTTTGTTCTTGACTGACAATACCTACTTATATGTGTGTTTTTTTATTTATCTTTTTCATATTCTAGAAATGGTTCATAGTTTAGTTTTCTAATATGATGGTGTACTGATGATAATTTAGTAACTGGTTTTTATTAAATGTGGGTTCAATTTTTGTTTATCTTATCTTATTTTCAAAACCTATCTGCTATCTCACAATTTTCTTTGTCTATATCATTTTTTATGGATTTAGTGTCAAGTGTCTCCAAGTGAACATGAAAATTAACGTATTTCATGGTTTCCTTAAGAAAATGAATATATTTTTTTTTGAAAATATGCAATCAAATGAACTTGGAAATTATTGAACTAAACCAATTTTCGTTTCTGAATTTTATTTACTTTTCTTTTTGTGATCGCATCTTCATCGACTGTACTTCTTTTTATTCACATTTTTTTGTTTTATTTTTTATTTTATTTTTGTTTTGTTTGGTAAAACTGATCGATTTTTCTTTTTCTTTTTTTGGTTTACACTTCTGCAGAAAACGTAAATGTATTAGAAAGAACGAATATGAATTGCCGTTTTAGGCATTAAAGTCGCACGAAATTGGGATTTCGAAGTGAAAATAGAAGTATGACCGAACACGTGATTGAAAGAAAAAAAAAGAAATTATTCTATGCAACTCTGTACATTTTTGTGGGGGCGGATGTGACACATATTGGATCCATATTGAATATTAACATTTATCTTATTTTTTCTACAATTTTTTTTTTGTTTATATTATATCTATTTTGCTGTACACATTTTATATGCACACCGATACATTTTTTTCCGAAAAATTGAAAACTAAAAAGATGTAAAAGCAATTGAGCGATAATTTCGGAGAAGAGTGTGTTTTATTGGCTGGTTTGCACAGAAAAAACAGGAAAACTTTTTAGATTAAGGTACGGTTGTAAGCAATCAACAAACGTCAATAACAAACGTGAGTTGGTGTTATATGGGTATTTGTCCGAATCATGAACACATTGAAAGTTTTAATGTTTCAGACAGAGTATAAAATGCATTTCAAAATGGAATATGTGTGTGTGCGAACACAACAACAAAGTCATAATTTAAAAAACAACGTCTTCCATTCGACGAACAACAACAAAATAAACAAGTTTATTAACAATTTTAAGAATTGAATTGAATTGAATAATTGGATGAATATTTCTAGTGTGCGATGCTTTAAGATAGCAATGTATTTATTTCATTTTTGTTTTGCTTTTATAGTTTTTCCTTTTTTTCTGTGTTTTCAAAAATTTAAAATAGATTTTAAGATTAAATGCACTTTTTTTATTTCCTTTAATTTTCAAGAAATTTTTTTTGTATATAGTATGTGTTTAACAGTTTCAAAATACGGAAAAAAATGAACTCAAAACTAACAAAAATTGATATACATAATCATACGTCCTCAAGGGGGGTTGGAAAAAAATCGAGCAGGTGTGCAGTGTACTTTTTTCGTTTTATTTTTGCTCTTCACTTTTTTGGCAAAATTCCCTAGCAAATAATTTTTTTTCAAAATTTGATGAGCAAAAAAAGGTCTTCACTTTTCCAATCAAAGGGCTAAATAAAAGAATTCTTTGAAGGGTAACACTTGGTCAGGGAGGGTAATCGGACACCTCGGACCCCTGGTGAGGACGTATGTTACATAATGTTTCAATGTAAAGAAAATATACAGTAGATTGCCAAATGTCGACACACGACCAAATGTCGGAATACCGAGAGGTGAATTGAAATTAAAAATTGAAAATTCATTTGAATTGCATTTTTAAAAGTAAATTATGAAAGATCAATATCAAATCTCTTTATTATAATCCAAATTTTAATCAAAAATCTATTATTGCTTTCACAAATTACGTTCAAAAAAAATTCGGCATTTTTATCACTTTTTCACGTCAAAAGTTAAACTATGTCATTTTGAGACAAGCCGGTAAAATGCGTTTTTTTATATGAAAAAATAACTAGTTTGGAAAAAAATTTATATCGGCGAATTGTAGATAGTTTAATTTAATTATTGAACAGAAATTTTCAAAATATAAAGAAAAACAATTATATTTATTTTTCATTTTTCACTGTAATATTATTCCGGAATAAATCGTCCAATTGCCGACACATAAAGCACCGAAGTTTCAAGTGAAACACTTTGGATTTGACAGATGTGACAGTTAAAGTCGTATTTGGATCATTGTGAAATTCAAACCAAAAATATTCTAGATCAGTGAACTAACGTAATATTTTTAAATATTTTTGCCACTTTACTATAGAAAAATAAGTAAAATAAAATATGGAGCAAAAATATATCAATCTAATAATTTTAACTCCAATATTTTGTATTGTTTACCTCAATGTAAATAGTGCGTTCATGGGCTGTCAAAACTTAAAGTTTACAAGTTTCGTAGTGAAAATGCATGAAATATGTCGAGATTAGGGAGCCGAGAATTGGACGACGAATATCCGACATTTGGAATTTTCGATGTTATGACGAAAAAATGGAAAAAAATAATACATTTTTGGAAATTACTATCTTTTGAGAAACGTGAAATGAAGCACAATTAAATTCTGCATCGAATTGTGTATAAAGTGATATTTTTCCATGAAATCAAAAATGTTAAATATTAAATTGAAGTTGAAAATTCAAACAAATAGTCCGACATTTGGGCGAGTGTCCATACCCTTTTTACTTTGAATAAATATGTGTGACTAAAAATGATTGAACATTATGTCAACAAGTTATGTTCATTTTAAATCTAAACAGTAAATTGCTATAGACACTTAAACACACCCGCACACATTCGCACAAATTCCAATAAGAAAAATATTTTTCGGCATTAACATATTTCTAAATATACACCAAATAAAGAGCTGATATTTTTTTTTCAATATTTATCTAAAAGAAGTCACAGACAATTTTTCGGGGTTCAGTTTTGTATAGAGTTGTGATTTGGGTTTACAGTGAATATGAAATGCCGAAACGTATTGTTTTGATCAGTGATATTTTTTTTCATTTGTTTAGTGAATAGACAAGATTAGTTCGTAAGGTGATGTATGTATGCAAATTGAAGAATTTCGTGTGAATTTTGATTATCTCTAAAACCATTCATGGGAACAGTCAACCATATGGTTGATTTATTTTTTATAACAATATAATAATGTAGGGCATATTTTTACAAGTATCACTGGATTAATTTAGTATACTAATAAGAAAGAACAGACGCATACTCCTCTTCAAACAAAATTCTCGCGTACTAGTATCGTTAAAATTTATTGTATACAAATTTGTATTAATAAAAACAAGTTATATTCTTATACAAATAAAAAAAAAACGTTTTTTTTGTTGAAATTCTAACAACCATTTACCAAATGGAAAAATATGCAGGATATTTCAATTTGTGACAATTCGTTCGTTAAATTAAATTATACAATTTATATGTTTGTAATCTTTTGGGTAAAAATATACGCTTTTTGAAAAGATTTTCTCTTGCTCTACTTTAATACGACGCCACAAAAATTTCATTTTATCTATTGCAAACATCTATCTCAGAAAATTTTATAGGGTTTTTTTTTCATCCCACTCGCATCAAAATTGATTACGCGGGTTAGGTGAATATGTCTATATATGATGATTTCTGTTTGATTAAAACTTTATATGAAAAAAGCACTTCCTAAGCTTCGAATAGTGTGAAGCTACTCTGAGTTTAGTTAAATTACCACAAAAGCTAAAATCAACGTACAGATTCTTGGTTTTGTATACGATGCCGTGTCTACTGTAAAAAAGCGCCTGTAACTATGCTATGTGCCAAAAGAATGAAAATGGGTTTAGATACAATTAAAAGCATCGGCGTGTATAAAGGTACAATATGACATGCCACAAAATATTCCATAAATATTCACAAGGACTCCAGACCCATAGTTCGACAAACTTACCGTTCACATCAATCTCTTATTGATAAATGAATCGCTTGAAAAACGTTCGGAATAAAAACTGCATATTTTTTTTATTTTGTTAAAACATTTTATTTTGTTTTCAAAGATAAAATAATCATCCGCATTTGAAATTTCCGGGGCACAAATTCAATCCATAAAAAATAGTTAACTTTAAATCAATTCGTCAAAAATTAAAAAAAATAATAACACAAAATATCTCGTACACTGGAATGCAACTATTTTGCATTTTTTCGGCTCTTTTCTTCAAAAAACGATGCAGTAAAATAAAAATTCCCAGATTAGCATGCGCATAGATGCTGCTGCGTGAACTATGAAGTATGACTCATACATGTCATTAGCATTGGAAATTCCATTCAGATTGGTTCAATGAACATTGCTACTTCTTGTATTGTGTTTCATTTACGATTGTGGAAAATTCCTTTTTCCCATCGCACATGACAACTACTCAATGTTTAACGGCGACTAATGCCAATTCATCCATTTTATACTTATCTTCATGCTCAACAATATTTGCATCGGCACAAAATATAATATTTCAATGAATATGGTCAAAAATGTGGATGGCACTACATTTCTAACAGAAGCCGAAACCGCAGCAGCATCAACAAAATCTATTGAATCGATATCGTGCATTGTAGAGATAATTTCCTCTATTGTACTATATGATGCGGTCGCGGTTGGAACATTTGTAAAAGGAACCGAAGCAGTTATATAATCCATTGAATTGATATCGTTACTCGATTTCACTGTTGTAATTGGAACATTTGTTTCTCTCAATGGCTCGATCATTTCACCTGTTGTGCTTGATGGTGCCGCCGTGGTTGGCACATTTGTAAATGGAATCGATACGACATCAGCAAGATAATCCATTGGATTGATGTCGTTTTTCTCTTCCGATAAACCAATTCGAGCGGTTGTTGTTCTCAATAACTCGATCATCTCATCTGTTGCACTGGATGTGGCTGGAAATGCGGTTGTAACTGGTTCAATTGTTGATATAATCTCAGACCGAAATAGGTTCTCGAGGTCATTAGGTATATTGATTAAGTTTTCAGTGGTTGGTTCCGTTCTTAGCGTACCTGTAAAGTCTTGCTCAATATTTTTCATGGTGACTGATGACATTTTGTCTACTTCAGCCGTCTCTATGTCCGGCATTGACGTTGGTAGTATGTTTATTGTTTCAAATTCAGTCGTTGCAATTGGAAGTTTTTCTGTCATTTCATACTTAAACGCCATGTTTGTATAATTCAATTTGTCAACACTTTCAGTCGTAGACTCAGTGTCGATCTTTGGTAATTGGTCGATGTTATTTATTTCCTCTAAAGGAGATGTAGTTGTTTGTGGGATTGTAGTGGTAAATTTGATGGTTTGGGCTGTTGTTTCTTGACTTGATTTCAATACTTCTGAGACGGTTTGAATGCTTGCGAAATGTTCAGTTGTACTACGCAACGTCGTCATACCAAAATATGTCAATGGTTTCATCGTTGATGAGGTGTAAACCATTACTCTATCGATCTTATGCGTCAAATTCTCAACTGAAATGAGAGATTTTCGGTTTGGTCTTTGCGCAGTATCAATATTATCATTTAGCATTCTATTGTCGATCATTGGGAACTGTTTCTCATCATCTGACTCATTGAATCGCATGCTTTTTCCACGGCGTCGGTTTGATATTTCCTTTTTTCTTGATATATTTTCGTGTCTCACTATGGGTTTCACTGTACGATCTCCTGAATGTGAAGTTGTATTAATCGGTTCATATTTCGGAGAATTTCGATTAACATACTTTCGAACGAGTTTTCCATTTTCAAGCACGACTATTGGAGCTACACCTTGAAGTTGTAATTTTCGTCGTTGCACAGCCAAATCCCACAAATTCAATTCTTTTTTCTGATATTTTTCGTTCGTGACGGTGCCCTGAGTGTTTCGAGCTAATTTATGAAATTAAAGAACGCGAAAAATTATTATTAGAATGAATAGAACTATTTTCTTTGTATTTTATTTTTACACAAATTATGTGGACAATCTTACCAAAAACACACATCACTGAACTAAATATAAACATAAATAATGAATATCGAACGGTGGTCGAAAAATACATGGTATGATTTGACATTTCGGAGATGTTTTTTCAGGAGCATTGAATCGATCACTTCTGTTCGAGTTGAGGTATATTCTGAAACTGGCGCGTGTCGAAAAGAATATTGGTTTTTAAGTACATCATTCATATTAACTTCCGACATTCTGGCCGACACTTCCTTATTAAGCTATTTCACATTTAAGTTTTGCAAATATTTACATGGCATCATTTAGCATAAGCTGGGAATAGACAGGCGCAGGCATATTTTCCTTTGTGCATAACATATAGTGTCTGTACGCTACTTTGATCACATTTCGTCTGTATCAACAAACGTTATTAGTCCCTTTTGCTCTCAACTTCGGTTCAGGTTTTGAATATCGGCTCGCCTTTCGGGCTCTTTTTCTCATTCATTCTATTGTGTAAACAATTAGCATTTCCATTCATTACCGGTTTCTAATGTATGACAAAACTTTCGTACAAACATCAAATGAAGCGACGCCGTACCGTTTTTTGTTCGTTTCCCGAAAAGTACACAAAGTCAGAGAAGGTTTGATTTTTATTTCAAGTGAATTCAATAAAATTAATATTCGACTTAAAAAGTGCTATGTTTTAGTTATGGACCAAAAACTAATCTATTCATTGCGATAAGATGACTGTTGTTGCAAAAAGATCAGCATCGTTCGTTCGGTATGCAAAAAAAAAATCCCAATTTCAAAAGAACGGGGAAATTCCCATCATATATACATTATTCGGGACACGCATATTGAGAGCTATATCGAGATCAAATGCTTTGTTGCACTTTGTCATACTGCATCCTCCCAATTTAGCATAGATCAAATTACCATCATGTTTTTTTCTACCTGAACCAGCAGTGAAAAGAGAACACAAAAAAAAGAACCCAAAATATGAACTCTGTATATAAAGCACAGTGCTATAAATGTTAAAATTAGAACATTATCATACAATTGTAATAAGAATTAATAGTGATATTTGGTTTTGTTTTCAAGAATTCCGATTTAAAAAGTTGGGTCGTCAAAATACGGGCCGAAAATATAATTTGATTAACGGAAATGTTGGATTATTTTATGAATTATCACAGATGCCCACATGTCATGTTATTTTCCGTTTGAAATGAATTAAATTATGTTTTAACAGCGTCAATTTTGCGTCTTTTTTTTCAACTAATGGAAGTGATGAAAACCGTTTGCCCGCACAATTGACACCGATTGTAGATGAAAAATTACTTTAAAATAACGAAAACTTTCACAATTTTATTCTATACGAAATCGGTGTACTACATTTTATGTAAAAAAGATACTTTTCATTGCAATTCGCTGAGCTTCATTTGTTAGTTAAATCTTAAATGTGAAAGAGTAAACATGTTAATAAAATGTGTAATTTTTATTTTAACGGCTCTACTTTGTAGCCATACATTGTGTGATCAGTCAGTTGAGTCAAAGCGAAACGGAAAATTCTTTGGCATAACTGGATATTTTTCAGGTGAATCGATTAAAAATGCTAAAAAAGTATGAACAAATTTTTTAATATCAAAAAAATGAAACAGGATCATCGGATTTTCATGTGGTACCATTTTGGAAGCAATGGAATGCATTGTTTCAAGTGAATGTCGAAAAGAATAAGCATAAACATAATAATGAGATTTATGTTCTTCCTGCGTCACAATTTTACTATCCACCTTATGATAGTTATGGTTTATACGTTCCGCATATGTATGGTGGATTAGGTGGTGGCGGATTAGTTGGAAATCGACTGCATGGACCAATGTCATTACTTCTCGATGAATACAATTTTCCGGCCACAACACTGGTTTGATTATTTCGCTTCTATTACTATCAATCAATTCCATGTATGTTTTTCTTATTTGATGGACTAACAATTTTACTGTATTTGAAAGGCTCCACTCAATCCAGATATTAACGACAGGCCAAAATTGGAGGGTGATTCAAATGATGATGGCGCAAAGAAAAATGTAGGTTTGTTCAATTTGAATATACGTGATGATCGTAAAACACACAAACGCGATATTGTGCATAAAACGATAACTGACAATGAGGTTGTTGCTACAGTTGTGGAAATCACCGACATTAACATTGACAAAACGACAACAGCCACATCAGCAGCAACAAGTGAGCCTGATATTTATACAACAACTGAATCAAATGAATCGCAAACAACAGAAACAATTGAATCGACAACATCATCGATACCATCATCGTCGACAAGCGAAAATCCAACCGCATCCATTGTTGATACTGGATTCCAGCCAATTTTAAATTTTTACTATGGTGGTACGCCAAATGCCAATTATATTTATATTACAACGGCCGAACCCATTCAGGAACCTACACCATCAACGGAACTCCCAAATACAATCAACGATCGATACGATTGGGGTGAATTCAAACCAAGCATACAATACGAATATCGAAATTATCGATTCAAACCAGACAAACATTTTGTTCCCGTTGCTGGCACAAAACAAGTATATTAAACAGTCGGTTAGGCTATTCTTTTTCATCTATTGAGAATTTGGAAAATGTTCGAAGAAAAGATTTTTTTTTATATTTTTAGTGTAAAAAAGATGTGTCCCAGAATTATTCTAATAAAAATTGGATACATTTTCGATTTGTTTGATTTTTGAAATGAAAAATTATTAGTTCTCAATTGAAATTGAAATGAATAATTCATGCAGAATGGAGTAAATCAAATGCGAACTTTAATTTATTTTGGTACATGCTTTTAGATTAATTTAACCCTCCTAGGTATAGAGTGAAAAAAAAACTTGAACGGATAGAGTCGGTCCATTGGACCGCCCATACAAAATGTATGAAAAGTCTATGAAATGAACAAAATTATATTTCTTTTTTTGTTGAAATTTTCATTATAATTTTTTTTAAATGGGAAAAAAAGTTGAAAATAAATAATTTATGACAAAATTAATTGGAATCTGATGATGCGGTTCATACGGACGCTTTTTGGTGCAGTTCGTACACATCGCAATTTTTTCGGAATGTTCACCACAAACATTTTTCATACATTTGCTGCACTGTGTTCGCGTCTTTCTATTGATTTTAGTGGAACATAAATGACATACACTTTTTTTATCTTGTTTGGTTTGCTTTGTTGAAGTTGACGGTGCTGTTGAACTGTGCTGAGTACAGCTCGATGCGCTTTATTAAATCCATAAGTAGATCTGCATGCTATTTGATCATACACCAATGCTTCTGATAATTCGATCAAAAATTTCTTGCGTTGAAATGAATATCGATCTCGTGTAATTCCATGTTTTGCATTATAAACAATGAACGCAGCGAGTCCACAATGTGGAGTCCATATACATTGATCAAGTTCATGAAGAAAGGCCAACGATTTCTGCCTCGTTGACATGAATAGCTATGACACAGTTTATCTGAATAATCAACGCCACCTTTTGTGCTGTTATAAAATGTATTGATTTCATCTTCAGAACCCACACTTTTGATCTACAGCGAACGAATCATGTTTGTGTTTCTTAGCTTATATACACATATACACAAATTCTATCTTCTTTATTCTTTGCTACATTGCTGAATCTACTCTATATGCACCGTTTTATAACGCAAAATTCAGAATGTGCACTGTTGACAGTTTTGAATTGTTTTATTTTTTACTGTTTATATGAGGTTTTCATGCATTTTGTATGGGCGGTCCAATGGACCGCCACTATACGTTCTAGGTGAGATTTGGTTTTATCAAATGTCCACAACATATACAATTATTTTATGATAGAAACAGTATGCACATGAATTATAATCTTCTGTACGAGTAATCTGCCTGAGAAATTTTGAATTTTTTTAATTTACTTCGATTTTTATTCAATTTTTTCAAAAATTTCGGTCCAATGGACCGCCTCTATACCTAGGAGGGTTAAAAACGAACACAAACTTATTCACACATATCGTAACAGCTGTCTATCACAATTTGGAGATATTTGTTACAATTTTCTATTATTTTATTTTCCACGTTGAAAACTAAATGTTGGCTTGTAGCTACCGGACCGTATATGTTCATTGAATTGAACGGTCCGACAAACAAATAGTTAATCATTTCGGTTATTTATTCTTGTTGTCTACTTTGACCCATTTTTTATGATTGATAAAAGACTTTAACAAACTTACCGTTCGCATTAAACTCTTGTTGATGAATAAATCGCTTGAAAAATGTTCGAAATAAAAACGGCATATTTTTTATTTTGTTTATTTTTTTTTACACATTTTATTTTGTTTTCAATGATAAAATAATCGTCCGCGTTTGAAAAGGGGCACAAATTCAATCCATAAAAATATAGGTAACTTTAAATCAATTCGTCAAAAATTAAAAAATAATAACACAAAATGTCTCGTTTGTCGAAAATTAAACGGAATCATTAAAGATATTACAGTAGTAATGGGAATTCGGCACTGGGAAAGGAGTGTCAAAAAAAAGAGAGAAGGTTTGAACAATTGAGTATTTCTTGTCATTTTAAATAATATGACAACACTGTAATTAATACTTTCCTATTCTAAACGGAACAAGAAAATATTGGCTATACCATTACATTACCGCTTTCTACACACTCAAAGTACGGTGTTTCAATTTTAAAAGAAACAAAATGAAATACCGTATGTTGTTAATCATTTGTCTTATTTGGGTTGTTTAGATAAAAGAAGGGAGAGATAGAGAGCGAGAGAATGTGGGTGTGTAGGTATATGTGAACTGAAAAAAAAAATACTGCTGAAAAAACTTAATTTATCGCTTAAACTAGGCCTGCATCAAGACGTTGTTTGAATAAACCTTCTGGATCGAATTTTGCGGTGAGGTCTTTCCAGTCATTTGGCCGTCTTGTTCGCAAGAAGTTGATGACTTTTTTCGAGTTACGCTTTTGTGCAGCGCTGCATTTTGAGCAATCACTTTGGAGGGCGTCCGGCAAAAGTTCTGTAACGAACAACGAAGGAAAGAAAATGGAAAATTGGTTACTTGATGTGCGTGTTCAAGACTATTGTTTATTTTAAAATTCAAGTGCTATTGCGACGTAATTAAAAATTCAAACAAATATGAGATGCGCGCGTGAAGAGAAATTGAATAAAAATAAAATGGCATTTTCATACGTAAATTGGATGATTGTGCTGTAAGCATTCTTCAGATTGCAATATTTTAATTTACTTCAAAGCTGAGGATAAGGGACAATGTATTCCATTGCAACATTGACGTTAGTTCTAAAGCTTGTTGGTTGTGTTGATTGTATGCAGGAAACTAATTTCCATGCTTTCCTAAACATTCAAAAATTATGAATGCAACCCATTTATTATTATATGGGGTTTGTTCTGTTTGACTTTTGGTTTTAATGTGCTTGCATTTGTTGCCACACATTCTGACCGATCTTTATTCTTTATATCGTGTGTGCCTATTCACCTGCTTTGAATATGCGTTATTGCGAAATATTTGCGTTGCACGACATGCCACGATGAATTATAAGTGATTGCAAAAACGGCGCCCACCATATTTTTTTTCACTTCATTTTGCAGTCTCTTTCTCACGCGCAAAAGTGTGCGTTTTCTTTTTCTTTGTCTTTTTCCTTACGTAGCGTGATTAGAGTGATTAAAGTTATACACATGATTATACTGTGCGTTGATGATATGGTGGTGGTACGAAGATTTTAAATGATGTATTTTCCATGTGGCAAACAAAATGCAGAGAAAATGCTTTGAAAAATTACGTGAATTAAGTGCTATTTGTAATATGGATATGATCCATGCGCGTGTACAACATATTGGTTGTGCCTGTATATGTATCGTTTCAACGAACTAATCGAATGAGATGAGATTGTACTCGCTTTAACTGGCAACGGCATCAAAAACAAAGCAAAAATTAACGAGAAAGAGAGAATAAGAGGTCATGTTTGCTAAACTGCTATGCACACATACATCATCAGCATTACTTTAATTACTTTTATTTTTGCACTCGGTAATTAAATGTCTATGTGCTCGTGTTTAGTACTTGTCATGTGTGATTCATAATTCATACAGTATGTTTGCGTTCCACGCAATTTCTAAGAGACGTCGACACTGCCGCGCTCTATCCTTCACATAAATCGAAAACGGTGACTGAAATAAAGTCGCTTGAGTACACATAGATTAAAATATATGTGTACCGTGTTGATGCGAAGTTGCGGGTATTTTGCATTGGCACCCATGATTACAAAGTCGAATAAAAAGCATAAAAATTATTTCGATGTCCTACAATTATGTTGGATATGATGTTATAGTGAACGTTTCGTGAAAATATCATAGGTTTTTCCAGCTAATTTCCCATTTTAATAAATATTCAAAGTCTTTAAAACATACGCTTCACAGCACGTAAGAATATGCTCTTATTTAGATAATTACACGAAAATCAACGAGATAAAGCACAATTGCGTGCTTCAATAATCTGAAATGACAAAGAAATGCCACACACCGACCATACAACATGAAACGATGTGTATGTCATATATATGAACACATAAATAGTATATAAACTTTCATTTATGACATGTTATGTGATATAGCACAGAAATAGCTGTGGTGTTTATGCTTTCGTTGATTATATTGCATGTAAACGATGATGATGTTGCATAACAAAAGCCAACGCGCACGTTTTTTTTACACAGTTTTGAACATTGACAGCATTGACGTGGTATAAATTGAATGGCCAAAATTAACAATGTATTGAACGACTCTCTGTTGTACGTTTGGGGGTAAAATGACAGCCGAGTCCATTGAATGTAATATATGTGCATATTAGGCTTGCAGTTTGGCCGGGAAATAGTAAAACTTGTAATTCACGTGAGTTATCGCGTCCCTGTTTTTGTTTTGTCATTGTGTGTGTGTTCGTGTGTGCATGCATTTGGTCGATTACTTGACAATTTGGCTTTGATCGGCCGCGTCAAAAATTGAATCAAGCATATACACGCTAAAAATAGTTGATTGCAATTGAAAGTTTCCTCTGGCTCTAATCCAATTAGACCATTTTTCGATTTGGCATCTCGTTTTCACTCGTCATACAACATGCACCAAGTTTTATTGATAAATAAATTTAAATTGGAAAAGTCCATTTGTTTGTGTCTCCATTTCTGAAAGCAGAACAAATGGATGCAATTTAATATTGATTACGATTGGCGTGCTTTGGCTTCTACGTCGAAATTAACTTCCGTTCCAAGTGCATTGTTACTAATGGTATTATTTGATTCAACTTCTTCTCCTTCAACTTCTTAAATTCTCTACGTTCTTGCTCCCGTTTTTTTTTATGTTATTCTCTTCAAATCTCCATTTTGTGTAATTCTTTTCTCAAATGATGCAGAAAATAACATTTATCCACACAGTCTTCAAGTCGATAAGAGAAACGAAAGCAAGCGATATTTTTTCAAGCACATAAATCACCATTGATCCGATTTTAAGCTTATATCTCGCTCCCTCTATTTCTATTGTGCGAATAATGCGTTTTCTTTGTGTTTTGATTTTACCGTTCATTGTTGTCATTGTCGTTGTCGTTTCCGTTGTTGTTACCATAAATCTTGCTAACTTTCATTGTTATTTCATCACCGGAATCAATACGAAACATATATTTTCGGATGCATTATAAAATGCAACAACACAGATAGAGAGCAAGAGAGCGTGTTGACATAAATACTTAACTCTCTTAAAAATTTCTTATTTCTTTGTTTATATTTTTATTTCAAATGACTGCTGTCTTATGTTTTACATTTTCAATAAGATCACATTTACTGTGAAAATTGTTGCTTTCTCTGCAAGCAAATTTAACTTTGTACTTATTGATCAGGGTTTTTTTTTGTTGTTGAAAAAAATAAAACAGATAATTTCCAATGTTATTGCTATTGTGTTTGCATTCATTTCACCTAATTTTCGTTTGTCGATGTCTTTTACAGTCTTTTAACAATTTGCTCTAGCAAAAGCAAAGAAAAACGAATATAACGATGTGTTTTTCTTTCAATGTTCATCGTTTGAGCTGCTTTCATCTCTCAACCGAAAAAAAATCGTCGTTGTACGGATGGAAATAAAATGCATTTACTATAGAATCCATTGTGCACTCCTTATTGCTGTTATCATTTGAGTTGTGTATGTATTTTGTTTTTTATTTTAGTTGTTTCACTTTAAGAAACAGTATAAATTTAAAAAGCGAACGACTCAAAAATCCACCACTTTTTGCACCCAAACACACACACACACAAACAATGTAATGTGATGATAATTGGTACCATTGTGGGCTAGTTGGTATACGAATAGAAATGCCATTGCTGAATTGTGGCTGTACCTTTTTCTACTATTTAACTTTTTTTCTCACTCACTACTTCGACAAAAGTTTCGAGTCGTTTTTTCTTTGTTTTTTTTTCATCGCTCTCTTCGCCCCCTCCTTGTGTTTTGTTTTATTTTTCAGTGCCAATTTCAGTGTACAAAGCAATTCAAACGAAATGTTCATGAAAACAAAACAAAAACAACAACAACAAAAAATAAAATGTAAACCATGGATGAGATTAGCGTACTTTTCTCATTTTCTGTTTTATTCTCTATCATTATGGTCTGTGTTTGTTGTTGTGCGAATGTCTGTTTTTGTTCGCCTTGATCATACTACTTGTGGAAGTGGCAAAAAGCTTGCAAAAACAACAACGACTACAAAAATTATTTCCATTTATTTTATTTTCATGAGTTCCATCAATACTCTCTCGTACGTGTTTGTTCGAAAATTGTTTTGTTCCCTTTAAAATAGTGTATTTTATTTTCTTTTCATTTCACCAAGCGCAATTTTATTCTGTTTGTGTTGTTGGGTGTTATTATGTGCCCAAATCACACCCATTACCATTGCTGTAATGCGTCAACAATACACTGAATAAAAAATGGACCCAAAGTGTATAAATTACAATTTGTTTGAAGTTCAAGTTGGATTACTTTTCCTAGCATTTATTTATATTTTTTTCCTTCTTTGTTTTTCATTTGTTTTCATTCAATGTGACCGTCAGTGGAGTCGTTTTCTTTGCGCTTATTTTAAGTGATTTTATATGAGTATTTCTGCAGGCAGAATTTATGTGCGTGTTTGTTTTTCTAGATTTTGCAGTCAAGCGCGCGCGATACGGAGAGATTTACTGTGTTTATGGTGGCTTAAAGTTGATGAAACGGTCGAATAAAGAGTTAACATGCCTGTTGGTGTTATGGAATGTGATGAAGTAACTTTTGACAAATGTAACCAAAAATGCAAGTTCTCCATCAATCCATTTTGTACGTTGTTAGATACCTTTGGGGATGTAGCATCTATGGCGAAAACCGTCGTCGACAACGGTTAAAAAGACCGCCGTCATAGACCATTATTATATTGTTCACTATGCAAAGTGAAATCTGCCATACGGTTGCAGCTAAACAAAAACACCAGGCAAAATGAAAAGAAAAGTAGCAACCAACAACTTGGCTAACTTGTTAGTTGACTCTGGTTTTGTTAAACAAGTTGGTTTTGTGTGAATATATAATACATATGCATGTCTCTGTTGCCAAAGTGTTATGCGTCGCGCTGATTCTCAAAAACAGCACAAACTCCAATATCTAACTGCATGAATGAATAAATGAGTGATGACGACAGACGAGAGACAGTGTGTATATTGTATATCTATACATCATTCGCGCATTCGCCATTTCGTACTTATAATTAATTTTTGCGAAAAGAAACTCGGCCCGATTCAAACTAGTATAGGTGTATGTGTGTGTCGTAAAAGCGAAGCAAAGTAGAAACAGAAATTGATGCGAATGAAACAGATTTAAAAAAAATTGTCTTTTCATTATAGTTATTACTATATGTATATACGAACAAATTTTCACACCTGTTTTCAAAAGCACTCGTGTACGAACCATAAATATAAACATGCACGTACATGCAAGTTCATATGCTAGCATTTTACTGTGATCAGCCGGTCGTGTATTCACAGCCCATAATTGATGTCGCCTTTTTTTTAAATTCGTATTTTCGTATTCACCTGAAATTTTATCCATATCGCGAAAAAATTAACTTGATTTTATGTCATTTTTTTTTATGCCAACGATTTTATCATCACGACAACGATGATGATGCCGACGACGTTCGAATCCAATAATTTGATGTGCTTGATGTATATTGTCATTGATGTGATTATGGTGTGTCGATGCATTCGAAATGAATAATTGAGTTTTATGCTTTCAAGATTTTATATAACTTATTCAATTATGGTTTTCCCCATTTTCAATTTTAATTTTGCATAATGAATTTTTAACGCTTCATCGCGTTTATAAAATATGGAAACCGGCAATGTCATTACGTGCATATTCACGCAATGTGTCTAACACATAATTTTCGAGTCGTGTATGCGTCTCTTTCTCGTGCATATTAGTCGAATTGTGCGTCACTAAATATCATGCGATATATCAATCATGAGCGCGGAAAGAATACGCAATACCAAATGCCATACATCGACTTTGTGACATTTTGACAGTTTGACAGGAACTCACTACTTTCTTCTCTGTCTCTATATCTCAATGTTTGCATCAATCGACAATGCCGTAATTTTTTGTTGTCTGCAGCTATATGTCAATACCATTTATCTTTGAAAAAGCAAAAAAAAAAATCATAAGGTAATAAACAAAAATTGAATTGATTTTGTCCGTTTGTATATACGCAGTACGTTTTGTGCAGTTCATTTATTGTGTATTTTTTCGATCATATTCAAATTCAATGGGCAAAATATATATAAAACTAATTTGAAATGATTGAAACGCAATCGATAATATTGATTCAGGTGTTAGTTTCGAAATATGTGCATAAATAAAAACTGCAATAAAAATGAAACGATGCAAAATCCAAAAACTCATTTTGCTAATAATCATCATCAAATGTTCAATAAATTGAAACGTAATAGGTATATCCAAGCAATTAATTTATGAATTCGCTTTTTCTCTATGTTTTACTCTTTCGCTATGATGCGAACCATTCAAGACATGTGTCAATACAATGTCGATTGGTTTGAAAAGCATCTTGGTGTGTGTATGTATGCACGTGTATGCATTTCATTTTATTTTTATTTCTTTCTACTACAACTTTGTACGTAAGCTTTGGATCAAATGATATTTGTATCCATTTCAAAATTCACATTTGGCAGAATTAACATTTGGTACGCTTTATTCCTGGTATACAGAGATTGAAAAAACCTCGCAGCAATTAATCCCTTGTGACTTTAATTGTTGATAATAAACACATACACACACACACAAACACCGAACAGTGATGTTGTTCTGGTGGTGCAACACGCGTGGAACGTCAATAAAATATGACATTTGACTGGAATATCTCATGATCAGCGAACTCAGCACTGAAATGGCATATTTTTGCTGGGCGTAGCACGCGCATTAAAACTGTATTATAAATCATAGAGGAAAAAAAACTTGTTAAAAATGATGAGCTGAAATGCAATTAAAAATATTAATTGCGTTTAAATGCGCATTTGTGTCCTTTAAATGATTTTGTACAAATTGGCTTGATTCTCTATTTTCTCTATCACTTGGTTGGTTTATAGTGCCAAACTAATTTAATTGATTCGATCTATTCATCGCCGGAAGTTGTGTGGACATAGAAAGAGTTTCTCTCTTTTCTAGACAGAGTGAGAATAAACTATACATAATTACATAAATGTCGCTGATAATGCTGGTGTAGCGTGAATATTTTGTCGCCCGTTTGATATGACGCTTTTGTGTGTGCTAATTGGTTATTGTTTAGCTTTTATGATCGTAACACAGAACCAAATGCAATACATATTTCGTTTCGTGCAAAAATTACGAAAAAAAAAAACAAAAAAAAAACGATGAGAGATTGAAGTAGTTATAACCTAGTTGTTCATAGGTCGGTAACAAAGGCCGATCTCTGTTAGATGTTTGCTTCAAACTGATTTTGTATCCGCGCTATTTATATAAATTACTATTAAACACACAACAGCCAAATGCGTCCGAGACATGCAGTTTAAGTTAATATTCTCTGAATAATTGAGTGCTAGTGTATTATCACCTTGAATTTTGTATGAAAAACAATTTGCTTCCATTAATTAAAAATTCAATTATGAATGAGTAACGCGTGCTTATTGCTCACCCATGCACACCACTACAATCGATGTAAACGAATACATTAACATTAACGAATATGAATATACCACGTACTAAATACTAATTTGTTCATAGACTTGAAACAGTTTCATACGGCCAAATTTCCAACAGCTTTTTGTTGAACAGAGAGAATTGAAGATAACATGTTTTAAACGAAGGCACGGCAAACAATGGTATACTATTTCATGGCGTCACCATGGTTTTGCTTACTGTATAAAGAGTAAAACCATATCGATTATGACCAAGCTGTTGCTGTACATTGTTATTATTACGCATCAAATACTTTTGTTTTTGATGAAAGCGCCGTTAATTTCTATGCTCGTGCCAAATTGAACATAAACATCGATTTTATATACACATATACAAACATGGGTGTGTGTTTGTGTGAAGGTTAATGGCATGGTAAAATGCAAAGATGGATCAGGACACTTAACGCTTAATGCTTACGATGTCGTACTTGTTACAACGTGTCATCAATACTAATTAGAATTGTGTCTGATAAATTGGTTGACATTTTGTCGAACCAATGTATGCATATATAATATACATCTAAACAATGTTGATTGTTTGTGCATTGCAAATTTCATCGTAATTGATATGGCAATGGCGCAATGCCATCAGAATCCATTATATTTCGATTCCAAAATCCCCGAATGACATACAAACGACAAGTAATAATTGATTTTGCAAACACATTTATAAACAGCCTTATAAATTTCTCGATTTATACCGTTCTCTTATATCATCAATCGCAATTGTTAAGTAATTGCCATACGAAAATGGGAGCGGTTTAGTCTGCAATCTTTCTTTTCCTGTCAATGGACATGACGAATTGCAATGGCCGGTGTTATAAACATATTAATAACAACTGAACAATTTCTTTGAAGTTGTCGACATAATTTGAGCTAAAAAATGTCGCTTACTTCATTTTTTTTTTTAAGTTAAACACTTTTCTGTAAACATGTTTCATTGAACATTTTTGCGTCAAAGCAGTGATGTTCGGGTTTTACCCAGGCATATGTATATAAGCATCAATTTCATGAGAAAATTACGAACGGTAATGGAGCCGATTTTGTTAATCAAATATTTGGATTTGTGTGTGTTGACAGCGCTTCTAAATCTCTGTTGGTTCACAAAATTGATTGCTAAAAGAGTTTTTGTTTACAATTCATTTCACACAAACACATGCAAAATGGCAAACGTCAACCGCACACATGACATCGATGCCACCCATTTAAACACAACGATCGACCTCTTTACGTATCAATTAAAAATATGAAACGGTTGAAGCATATGACGAAAAATTTTGATAAAACAAATGAAATGTAAACAATGATACCAACAAAGTGATTGTACTCGACGAGAATAAAATGGACGTAAAATTAAGAGATTCTTTCGATGATAACGCTTCTAAATTCGATGCTTAATTTGACACAAATATTTACTCAATCGATAGCAGCACGCAAATATTACTTTATTCTTTAACAGCACTTGTTATTGTCTTTTTTTTCCTCTATTCTGCTTAGATTTAGATGCTTCGGCCACTCTTCTCGATTACGAATAATTGTAATCTTGAAGAAAATCATCTTGAGCCGACATGCAATCCGATCGAAGTATTAAAACATATGCTGCGACAGAAAAAAAGAGAGAAAAAATTGGATGTCGGAAAGAGTGTAACACTTACTTTTAAGTTCACGACCTTCACGAGTACAGGCCCCTTTGTCCAGCAAACATTTGATATAATTGGTTAGCACACGGTCGTTTGAAAGCACATTATCGATGTTGACCTGGTCATATTTGGCTGGATATTTTTCAGCTAAAACCATGCATACAATTCCTAATAAAAGGACCATTGCGAATGTTGACTTCATGTTTCGTTGTTGTTTTTGCTACTGTAATTCGGCTTATGTGTTGAATATGGTGTATAAAAGTACGCGCTTCAATTGGATTAAGCTATTACGTGATTAATCCGGTAAATTCTGTAAGAAAATAATTGAAAATAAGGTTGAGAAAAATGCTTTTATTGGACGTTGGATTTTCTCTCTGGATGGATCAATATTTTATTAAATTTTGTTGCATTTTCATAGTGTGTGTTTTATTTTATTTTTTTGTTCTGTTGCCGTGGCCAAGAATATCTTCTCATTAAGTCTTTGGCCGTAATTAAGAACCGAACTTCAAATATTGAAATTTTCCTTATAAAGCTCGTGCTATCAACGGCATATTTGCTCATTCAGGCGAAAATGAGATAAAGAAAGATGAAAAAGCTTGCGAAAAGTTAAAACAAGTTGCAAAATGTAACACATAAATATCATTATCTACAGATGATATTGCACTGTAATGTAATAATTTTGTTATTGTTTTTTTTTTCTCTTTCTCTATATGTGTGTCACTCTATCTCTTCACTTCTTGTTTGTGTCAAAATGAATTTTTTGTTGAGTAGAAGATGCATTCGATTAGCTGCGAATGCTTCGAGTTGACTTGTCTAGAGATAAGTCAACTTGGATGCAGTAAGATCACGAAAACAAAATGATTGAAACAAGAATATGGCTAAAAAATTAGTTTTGTCAAACATGATTCAGAAGTTTAAGTGAATATTCGTTTTTCATTGGGCAAAGTTCTTTCGTGTATGTTCAACGTACTATGTTGTAAATCGTGGTACAGTGGAGCAAAGTGATTGAGAAAGGGAGCGACCGTTCATCGAAGTTTATGTAAAAAATAATAATAATAATGTTCTGTATAAATTGTGTTTTTTTTTTTATAAAATAGGAAAATGACTTGAAGCGCTCAAGTCTCAACTTTTGGCTTAGGGGAATATTACCAAAGCATTACTTTGTGAAGTTATTCAAAAATGCTATGGGAAACTGAATATTATTTAAGTCTTTCGAAATGAGTCTTCCTTCCTTTTAAAACTAATTAACTTTTCTTCTTCTGTTCGTATATTCGTATAATCACTCTTTGTATAAATAAATATAATATGAGAGTATATTTATTTAACGGAAAATAAGTGGAAACCAGTGAATGTGGAGGGCCGGTGAAACAATACTATTAAACGCCACGAACAATGCAGCGAGATGATGTGAAGCGCTGTTTTGTAAGTAAGTTTTGAAAATGGTTTTTGTTCGATTCTAAATTGAATTTTTTTTGTTTCATAAATTCTTATTGTTCGTATTTGTAAATGTTTTGTCGTCATGTCTACTGACAAAAATGACCACCTGTCGGTAGGTGCGTTCTGCCACATCTCGGTTAGCAAAGTTTTCGCATATCCGAAACGTACGGCGTCATAAACATTTACTTTTTTCATCAATCAAAAATGGGATAATAATTTCGCCTTGATGTCTTGAAATTGTTTTGCTTGAATAGAAAGAATATGAACAACACGGGTACAACAAAGAGGTGTAATGCGCTCAATAAGCGTAATGCTTTGTTTGCCGAACTTCGTATAGACAGTGCCATCTATATATAGAATGGGATATTATTTCACAAGTTTGAGAATGAGCGCATATGTTATTCCAAAAATTGTTGAAAAATAATTTAATAAATTGTTTCATTTTTTTGTTTTGAAAGTGAAGTTAGCACAATTAGCATTAGATAATTTCTATTTAAAAAAACATAAATTTATATGCGTTTTAATTTAACTTAAAAAGCCTCGGGTGTAGAGTGTGTAGATCTTGTAGAAATGATTTTGTTAAAATCTCCATACGTAAACTCATAAGTGTGAGTGTGACATTTGACAGATAGATACAAAACGTAATGTTATTGTTCTCTTACATACTTGTCATACACTCGTGCGAATTATTCTGTTCTGTTAAGTTCGTTTATTCCGTTCATTTATTTTATTTATATTCTTAATCTCGCAATCACATCGCAAAATTGCGTAAAAATGGCAGATTCTATTAACAGTTTTATTGATCTTGACACCGGCTGTATAAAATATCCTGATGGAGACTTTACTTTTATATTAAACTTTATTCTGTTTAGTTCGCCAAAAGATAGAGTGAGGGCGTTAGTGTGACAGATTTCATATAAAAAAGCTACTGTATTAGAGATCTTGTACAACACAGTTGAGCGGTTGCTGAGACAACAACTTTTCATCAACAACAAAATCCTCAAATTGGATTCCTATAGAAATGATATTGTTGTCATTTTATTCGTATTGCTTTTGGAAGTCAATTACAACGAGTAAATTCGCATCAATTCAATGTTGCAAACTACTATTATAATTGATTTGGTTTGAAGGTATTTTCGTTTGTTGCTGTTTTACGGTTTTGAAAATGTTGAAACGAATAATTTTGTGGTAATTATTTGAAATTCTTTGAATAAGCAACACATTCCAAAGTTTCTATACCTTTTCAGTGAATGAAGAATGTTTCAGAATTGGAATGTTATCAGACTGAATAGAGAGAAAAAAAAGCAATAGTGCGAACAAACGAATTCAAAGTTCAATTTGCTACAATAATCTCATGACGCAGTATGCTTTTTTTTCGTTGGGCTATACACTTGTGATGTGCTTAGAAGACATAACAAACATAGTTCAACAAAGTTGCTTATTTGACAGTTATTAAGTGATATAATGTGATGATAGTCTCTGCTTCTGCTCAGCATTTTGTCAATTTTAGCGAAAATCATTTGGTGAAAATGCACATAAAATAAACCATTGACACCAATTGTCTCAAAATATGTGTGCGTATTACTTAAACTGTTTTTTTTTTTAATGTCAGCATACAAGTTCAATCATTATCTCTCGCTTACGAACGAATAGGTGACAACAACAACAACAAAAATATCACAAATTGGACCGCTCAATCACAGTATGGTTTTTTTTGCTTCTGCAGCGAATTGTTTATAAAAGGAGCGCACAATTTATGATGTATTTAGCAATTCCAATCAATTCAATTGAATCTACAGCAAAAAAACCGAACGAATCATTCTCCATTCTATTCACGAATGCGCTTTCAAAGTGATTCCAAAGCTTTTGAGGCATATTTAATTGGAATCCCGTGTTGCATCAAATATTTTCAATTTGCTATACATCAAATTAAAAAATAAATAAAATAAAAACGGCCATACAAAAAACACGGGGAGACTTTTTTTTCTTTTCCAATTAATATAAATTTCGTTCTTTTTCGAAAAGCAATTTTATAATTTTTTATCACCCTGATGTGAGTCAATTGAGAGTTTTAATTCATTTTTACTCCTTCATAAAAAAACGTTTTTTTTTTTTGTTAAATAAACAAACAAACGGCTACTCACTTGAGATATGTATCGAATTCGATAAATTTAATAGAGATTTGTTATTTAAAAAAAATTTAAAATTGGACTAGCTTGCGCACACAACACCGTTCACATTCACCGTCGACTGCAATTCACAAACTGAATAGTCAACGTTAAATCAATTTCAATTTATTTACTCACAAAATGTATTATTTGTATGCCTTTTTTGTATTCGATTTGCCGAGAGAGCATACAAACAACACTTAAAAATCATCATTAACACAAACACAAACATACCTATATACACGCACATCGACACAAATGCATGTTCACACTTATGATCAAAGCACTATTCATAGGTCGAACGACGAAACAAAGCATGATTGACGTTGTTGTAACATCGGCTCAAACAGCTTTTATTCGATTTCGGGGGGGAGAACGAATGAGCGAACGAACGAACGAACAACAACAACAACAGAAGCACAGAGACGAAATCAAGTGAGAGTGTGATAACAAGAGTGAGAGAAAAGTGGCAAATGAAACGCCATTCTGTCGGTAATCCGATGTGATTGTACTGGTAAGTAAGTCAACGTGACGTTGTATGTTTATATTTGTACAATGAATCTTTTTCTTCAAATTGCGTCTGATCGTCTACTTCTTTTAAAACGAAAAGAAAACAATTCACTTGGATCATAATGTTTATGGCTTTCATTCTGGTCTATGTTTCAAAAACTAATATACCACATAGAAGATATACGAAGAAACTCTATATATAAAGTTGTAAATGTGTAGAAGAACATAAGGCCGTGTTAAAGTTTGTATTTGATTTTGCCAAAACTTTGTTCAATTTGATTTCGGAATAAAATGTTCACCGTGACTTCCCAACTAATGTTTGCATTATTTGTGCATCATTTGTTACTTTAATTGTTGAACAGATACACGCAAACATATACACGCACAATTGCATGTACCAGTATCTATTGACCGTTTAAAGTAATCGAGTCGCAGCAGAAAAAAAAGTGTAATTTTTTAAGTAAATGGTTTCGTTATTATGTACCCAAGTAATTATACTTCAATGTTGGTGCTGTGTTATTGGTTGCTTACATACGTTTACTTACATGCAATAAGCCGTTTTCTTAATAAATTGTTTCAACGACCTGATTTTCTGTCCTTTTCGCACTTCCTCTTTTCTTACCTTTCTCAGTGCAGCTTACTTGTTTTTCCCCTTCATTTAAATTGTTATTTTATAGTTGTCATTCAATGATGATGGTGTTGTTTTTTTCTTCTTCTCTTCTTTTGCTTTTGCGTCTTTGTTTCATCGCTGTATCTCTTTCGCTTTCATCTATTTTTGCTACGCTTTATCCATCCAACTACTTGACAAATGCTTTTACACAACATTGGAAATATATGTAACAGACGCATAATGCTTTAATATGCTATTATACGGCATAGTATGGCAGCCACTCAGTTCAAATAACATTGTACAATTTTACCATTTTATCTAAATTAAATACAATTTCACTTTTATTTAGACAAATTACCGTGCGCTCATTGTTCGTTTTAATCTTGTCTTTATTTTGTTATATTTCCTTAATTCACAACATTCGCATGTGCCGTTGTTGTTGTTGCTGCTGATGATAATCATTTTGGGTGCCATAGTAAAATAAGGCAAGTGGTTGCATTAGATTCGTATGTCAAGTCATTTATTTGCAACGCGACGAATGATTAACTCACATAAAAACGAAACGAAAAGAAGATTATTGTTTCATCCGTAAAATATCGGCAACTTTCTTTTATTGTTTGAGATGTAGACAAAAAGTGCGCAATTGTCAAAAATAATGTTTAAAACGAAACGGCAAAACAAAACAAAAATCAAATTAAAAAAAAAAAAATGCTTTTTTAGCGGAATTTCCCGATTACATTTCATTCGAAGTCTGTCGCTTTATTCGTTGGCGCATTAATGCCAAAATGCGAATGTAAGGCCGATTATGGTTTCAATCAACGAAATTCCGTTAGCTCTCGTAATTTTTGATATATTGGATTTTCGTCGTCCCATTATTATGTTTGCAATGCTATTAACCGTTTACGATGATATATGCCAAATGTTACGTGTTTAATATTCAATTCGAAATCAATCTATTTTCTAAACATTTCAACATTATCCAACAACTTTTTAAAAAAATCCACACCAAACCAATATTTGCAAAAATAATAAAATCAATTTTTCCTATCGTTTTATCTTTCATCGCATCTGGTGTCACATTCAAAGTAGTCTGGGTTTTTTTGCGCGATTTTCAAAACATTTCACTCTGATCATTTCATCTTGTTTTTTTTTTCGTATTCTTCAACTTCTTCAAGTTCAACATCGCACTTCAACGACGAAAAAAATCAAAAGTATATGACTAAACAAAAATTAGCATATCTTGAAAGTCCTGAACTACCTGTTGATGGGAATTTTAAACAGCACTATAAAAGGTTGAGAGGACGACCCGATGTATATTTTGATTGGGTTCATATTTTGGTTTTCATGTAGAACAATTAAACATGCATGATTTCATCTAATTACTAATTTCGGCAAATTTGGTGTTTAATTGTTGTTTCTAAGTTTTCAATTTTTTGCATTTCATTCTGCGGCCATATATTGTTACATTGTTTTTGTTTTTTTTTTCGTAGGAAATCTTTTGTCGCTTGTATTTGAATAATTAATTTTCGACGATTTGCTGCTATTATGACCTGTCAAAATGTAACTCATCCAGTTTACGTATAATGTAATCAAAAAATTATGTTGTCGCTTCAGCCGTGTGTTTTGGACATTTTCGCTGATGTAATGCACATTCGTTTGAATAATATATTAGCTGTTGTCATTTACCTTTCACACCATAAAGTCATTGCTTTTCGACCATGGTCGCACCACAAAGAAGTTGAGCCCATTTTTCGTATTTTTTTTTTTTTTTTCATAATTCGCGTGCGGGAAATTCCCATGTACGCACATAATAATGAAAGTGCGATTTTTTTGTACATATACAAACTACAAAATTGAAAAAAACCCACCGTACGAAACTAGAAAAACAGAGCGAAGAATATGGCGAATCGAATTAAAAAACTAAACACATTTTGGCTGTTCATCTCGATTCAGTTATATTTATTTCAACTGAATTATGTTATGTGGAGATTTGGACTTTCATTATTATTTTTTTTTTTTTTTTTGAACAACGAGAAATATTCATTTTTTCTTATTATGAATAGTAAGAATAAAAGAGAACGTATCATTCTGACAAATCTATTCCGGAATCACAAGAAACAAACAATTTGTGGCATTTAAATTGCTTCATTTAACTGTTTTTATTGTCGATGTTAAATCTCGACGACATTTTACTAATATTATGCTTTACATTTTCTATGAACTCTCAGTGCTATGGATGAAGTGTTGCGCAAGCGATAGCAAGAATAAATGGATGTGTTTGCATGAATTATTCGAAGCGACAATGTTGATATTCAGTTCTTCAATCGAATCATTGACGAATACAGAAAACAAATCGTCGAAATAGCTAGCGTCAAGTCGTTCGTTGACAGTGAGAGACGCCGACTAGAAGGACGTTTCAATCATCACTGGAATCATTCGCATTTTCTCATTTGCTTATTTTTTATAGTCGGTCGCTGCAAAAAAAAACAAAATCCGAATTATAAATCATTGACGTTCAAGTACTATTGAGAGGTTTGAACTCTCAATATTCTATTTTAATCGTTGAAGAACCCGATGTGTGCGACATGACGTACTGCATTAAACTGACTTAATTTGGTTACTCAATCACCACAAAACGTGATCTATTGTTAAGCAAGCAATACATTGCCTCAAAAAAATCGTGGAAAAATGTTGAATCATTCAAACTTCTTCAAGCCTTCTGACCACAAACTATAGGTCGTATCTCTTTTGGTTGCTTGCTTTCTCTCTCTCTTTTTTCTCTAATTTCTCCATTTTACTGTCCGCAGCAATTCGTAGAACATTATCTAATGAACGATTTTGAAATTCTGCTAGAAAATATTACAACACAGAAAATAGAAAACAATAGTCCGAAGTCGTTTCAAAAGTCTTCAAAATGTGTATAAACGTGTGGTTTTCATAATAATAAATTATTTCATCGAATCGGTTGATTGAAATCTTTCCAAATAGAGACGTGGTTATTCTTGTTTTCGGCTTAAAATAAAATGTGCCTACCTTTGTATTTTATGATGAATGTGTGACGCACGATGTTGGATTACTCGGACGTGCATTGCATACAAAAACAAATGTAAATGCATCATCATAAAAGAATATGTAGTTTTTATTGATATCTTGTTTCTCACTTTTGCATGCAACTTTTTGGATGTTTCCAAAATAAAACAAATCGAAACGAACGGAAAAGTTAATTTGTTATGAAACTATTTAGAGAATAATGTTATTGATGATAATCAATAAATTTTATTCGCTTTATTTTTAGATGGAGACTAGCCACAATATATTTTGACTGTCATTTCTGTTTTGTTTCGGCGTTGAAATTTAATCTTCTTAAAGTTTTTTTTAGCTTATTATATTTTAATTTGTTTGCTCGTGACGCATTTAAAATATGATCTTTATTCTCGTTTTTGCTTAAATATTTGGCGTATCCGGAAAAAAAACTGTTGAAATCGAAACGTCCAAACCGAAAACGTAATATTTTATGGTTAGTTCTTGTTATATTCGTTTTTTTAGTCAATTTCTGATAGAAAACACTCACATATACTCACTGAGGGGCTTTAGAGTCAATAGCATCAGTTGTCATCGTATTCTTTTACTTTTTCTACTCATCTTTCCTTAACTGCACGATAAAAATGCAAAATCTATTGCGAATATACTTCATATGAAGAAAAAACGAACGAAAATGCGACAAAAAAACAACTTTGTTCCAGATTTCAGCATATGAAAAATCGTGTGCGATTTCAAATGAATCCGCATCGATTTTACTTGCTTCTGCGATAAATGTAAAGCAATGAGTAGCAGGAAAGAAGTTTTTTTTTTTCGCTGTGTGTCATCGCGTCATGGATGAATTCACACTCAGAGGACAATCGATACAATATTATTGCGCAGAAAATGTAAATCAGATTATATACAGGGTGTTTCATATAAGTGGGCCACTCTTAGGGGGTGGGAATTTT